ATCCTCTGCCATGGCCCAATGCACCCACTACTGCCATACCAGCGCTCCTGCCCTTGGATTTCTTTTTATCCCACACTCCCGTCTCAGCCCTCGGTGACCACTCTTCCAGTGAGAGTGATTTAGATTCCCCACAAATGAATGAGAACACGTCATGTTTATCTTTCCATGTCTGGGTTATTTTACTTAACTCATTGCCCTCTAGTTAATATCTACGCTGCTACAAATGACATGGTTTCATTTTTATAACCATGTGTATATTCCATGTGTATATACATGCATCTATCTCACATGCTTTTAATCCTTCCTCTGCTAACGGTAATCTGGGCTGGTTTTGTTCTCGTCCTTGAGAATACTACTGTAAGGAGCACGGAGGTGCAGGTATCTGCCGCCTCCCTTGAATAACAGCGTCGTCTGTCTCGGATACCAGCAAGGCTGTTGGATACTCTGATAGTTTGATTTCTAGTTTCCCACGATGGCCATGATAGCTTATATCCCCTCAGCTGTGTACAAGTTCCCTTCCCTCCACATCTCAACAACATTGGCTATTTTTTTGTCTGACAGTGGCCATTTCTGGGGGGTGAAACAATATCTCATGGAGCTTTGATTTGTGTTTTCCTGATTATATATACATATATATGCATATATAAATAAATATATAAACACATACATATAAATATATATATTTATAAATATATGTAAACACACACACACACGTGTATGTGTGTTTGTTGACTGTCTTTCTGTTCTCCACTTTGGTTCTACAGCCCAGTTTTTAGTTACATTGCTTTTGTGGTATTCAGCTTTCGGAGCTCCTATGTATGCTGGGTGTGGCCCCTGCTGGAAGAACAGCTGACGGGCACTCCTCACTCTCCAGGCTGTCTGTCAACTCTGTTGGTTGTCGCCTTGGCTTTATAGACATCTCTTCATCTGAGAGTCCCACATGTCTCTTCTTTCCTTTGGTCTGAGCTTTTGGAGTCCTGTCGAAGTCAGCCATTGCTTTTGCTGACTGATGTCTAGCGGCTTTTCCTGCCTTCTCCTTGTCATAGTTCCAGGCTAACCCTCAGGACTTCATCCATTTGCAGATGACTTAAGCAGGGGAGGGAAGGGGGATCTTTTGCATATGTATAACCAACTATGACAGCAGCTTATCAAAGGCACTATCTTCTCGCCGTCGTATATTCTTGGCACCTTTGTCAGAACTCAGGTGGCTGTTTGATCATAGATTAATTTCTGGGCCTCTTCATGTTCTCTTCCATGGCCCTTTGTGTTGGGTTTTCAGCTATCACCATGGTGTTAGAATCACTATAGCTTTACAGTTAGTGAGTCAGACAGCTAGTTCCTGTACCCATCTATCCTAGTCTCACAGGCCAGGCGAGCTTGAGATGTATTGTGTAGTCTAGGTGGGCCTCAAACTCACAGCCCCCCACCTCACCTCCCCAAGGGGCGACCCTGCAAGTGTATACACCACCAGCTCTGGAGTATGATTTGGAGTGAGGTGTTTTCTTCAAGACTGCTTTGATTACCCTGGAACTAACACAATTTAGTGTTCGTTCATTTGCTTCTTCCCTCTCTATATCTGCCAGGAGGACCTCACTCTGCATCCATTGACTTGGGACTCACTGAATAGCCCAGGCTGACCTTGAACTTGTGGCATTCCTTCCTTCTGTTCCAACTTTGCGAGGGCTGGTATATTACAGGTGAGGCTGGCAGAGGGCTTCTTAGTTCTGTTCCAGAACATTCACTATTGTGGTATGAAAATGGTGCTAGGTTTGTCTACTGACTGTTTTGTTTTGTCACTTTACTGTATTTGTTTGTTAAGTTCTAACAACTTTTTTTAAATTCATTTTTTAGTTCAACACATAATGTGCAGGCTTCATCTGATGGCAATTAGGTTTCCCTCCACATAAGATCACACCGTCTGCATGCGCCTAATTTAACTGTCCTCTCTCCCTTGCTCAGTTGCTCCTGCAAAGATGCTAGTGGCATGGGCACCCTAGTCTTGCTCCTGATCTTAGAGAAAACACAGGCAGCTTCTCCCTAAGCACTGTGATTGATTTGACCGTGGGTTGTTCACGTACTGTCTTGAGGTGTGCCCTACACTCTGTCTGTGGAGAGTTTCTCTTTGCACAAGGGCTGTTGAAGTTGCTTTTGTAGAGACAGCTGGACAATGGCAGTTCTGCTGGGTTTGTGCTTTTGCATTGGCTATAGTGCCTGTTGGCCACCCAGTATCTGCAAAAGGGGGGAGCCACCTGTTCACCATTCACCAACTCAAACATCAGAATCCTTCTCCTCCCTCTCCATCTTCAACCTGTTTTCTTCCCTCACTCTTCCTTCTTTCCTACCCTTTCTCTCTCCATCCTTTTCCCCTCCCTTCCTCTATTCCTCTTTCTCTGACTTATAAGCACACAGGTACACACACACACACACACACACACACACACACACACACACACACAAAAGCAATTAGGTAAGGAAGAAGCAGACAGAATTTAACATAGTCATTTACCTATTCATTTATTCCCAGAATATTTTCTGAGCCTGCTCTGGGTGCTGAGTGGTCCAGCCCTGAGATAAGCAGAACACAATAGCCATGGTCCCCACTCCATGGAATTTCTACTCTAGACTGAAGGGGCAGGCAATGAACAAAGAAAAGAACAAGCTAGAGAAAGTTGTATGAACATGTACTCTCCATCTTAATTGTGCCATTGTGGCAGAAGTGCCACTCACATGGAGCTACGTTTGCTGAGGAGGTGGCAAATGTGCCTCTAGGGCTTTGACTGGGCATGCACCTGGCCTCTTGAAGGCACAGCAAAAAGGCTCGAAGGTGAGATTGGCAGGATAGGAGACAGGGACACGGTCATGGAGCTGTAGAACCTGGGTGAGCAGGTCAGGAGCCTTGAAGGCTTTTAAGCAAGAATGATATGGGAATTTATCCCCTACCCAGTTAAATGACCCACAGTGCCCAGCCACATATTGTGGCTATGTTCTATGGACCTCACTGGGATGCTGGCTGGAATGTTTGTGTGGCACACGCCTGCTGTGGCATAGCTGGCTGTTCACCACCCCCTTAAACAAGCCATGCTGAGGGCATTGTTACCGACAGCTCTCCGTGAAAGAGTCACCACGTGACATAACTCACTCCAGATCACCCAGGGGAGGGCAGCACCCAGCTCCCTGTCCATATTTCTTCCTGGAATTGAGGCCTTGCCTGACAATTAATTAATCAGCCTATCAATCTACTTTTGTGTCTCCATCATGGTATGTGTATACACGTCTATTTATGCATATGTGTATGTGTGTGCACAGTACACATACAATGTGGGTGTGCACGTAGGTGGGGATCCAAGGTTGGCATCAGACATCTTCTTCAATCACTGCATGTCATTTTTGGAGACAGTCTCTCAGTGAACCTGGAGCTCACTGATTTGACTAAACCAGCTAGCCAGCAAACTCTAGGGGTCCTCTTGTCTCTACTTCTCCAGAGTTAGGATTGCATCCTTGCGGGCACCACTAAGGGCATTTTACATGGACGCTGGGGATCCAATTCAGTCATACTGAATTGTGGAGCCATTCCCCGGTGCCTCGGCCAGCAGCTTTGTTAAGAATCTGTTTTGTTTCACATGGATATTGCAGTACTTTTGCATTGCCCTAGCTAGTGGAAGACTGACCAGCGTTCTGTATGTCTTTCTTTTTATTAGGGAAAATTATAAAATGTGCAGCTCTGTCATTAAGTGTATAATTCATTGCCACTAAGGACATTCTCTCTGTTGTGAAGCCACTACCGTTATCCAGCTCTGGAATTTTCCACCACAAGCCAGAATTCTCTAGCCATTAAGCACTTACTTTTCCCTGATTCCCCCACCTTCCAGCCCAGTGCTCCAGTCTCCACGATCATTGCGAATTTGTCTATTCCGGATCATTCCTAGATATGGACTCTTACAATATTTGTTCTTTTATGAAGGCTGCATTGTTTAGCATGAGGATAAATTCCTTCACATTGCCACATGTGTTGGAGCTGACTCCTTCCCATGGCTGACTAGGCCCATGGTGTGTATGAGCCACTCTGTGTCTCTGATCATATGTGGATCATGGGCTGGTTAATGCCCGGATCAGCTGGTTGTCCACTTCAGGGATACTTCCAAAAACCTGGGAATCCTAAGTGTACCTAGGATGGACCAAAGGCCCCTTAGCACCCAGACACGGGTGCTGAACTTGCAGCTAATTAACCTCAGCTGTCCTCTTAGCCTAGGATGAGCCTCTTCCCATGCTGACCACACCTAGGATCTGGTGTTCTTCCTGCCCTGCCGCAGCCATGGTGTTAACTGGGGTCTCCAAGGAGCCTATCTCATCATTGGCTTTTAAGCATCAAGTTACAGCTGGAAGTGAGGCCTGACCTTGAAATTCTACAGAATTTTAAGTGGCTCAGGATGGGGGAAGCATGCTGGTGGCCTGGGGCAGCACATATCAAATGGCTTCCAGTCTCTGTAGTAGAAACCCCACAGAGATGTTTTCATAGTTCCCACAGTCCATTCTCAGCCCCAGTCTCATCTCCCACCACCGTTTGCCCGTTTGCCCGTTAACAGCCCTTCCCCCACCTCTCCCCTGTGGGAAGATGCTGTGCTACATAAGGACCCTGTGCTTTAGGGAGGAGGCCTAGCCACAATGTGTGCTACCCTTCTGCCCACCCCGGCCTACCCAGGAGGAGGGGTTTCCATTGTTCCTCACTGAAACCAGTGTGACTGCTGGGGACTTAGTTAATAAGCATATGTAATTCTCTTCCAGTGTCTAGCCTGTCCCTCAGTTGGTCTGAATGGCCAATGGTCGCAGGAGAGCTTGGCTAAGCCCATTCTTAGGTAACCTGCCTCCTCGCTCATCACCAGGAAATGAATGAAGCTGTTGTTCCCTGTTCTTACTTTCAGCGAGAAGAGGAGATTCTGGTCCCCGCCTCAGTCAGTCTCTTGGAGCTATGGGGCTACTCATGACCATTTTTTCTTTTTCAGAACGGTTAATCTGGAAAACCCGGTGCTCCAGCAGGTGCTAGAGAGGAGGAACGAGGTCCTGTGTGTGCTGACACAGAAGATTGTGACCACGCAGAAGTGCGTGATATCTGAGCATGTGCAGACGGAGGAGAAGTGCGGAGGCATGGTGGGGATCCAGACCAAGATTGTGCAGGTGCCGTGTCCCAGCACGGGGACCTTTCCTGGAGTCGTCCTCAGCTAGAACTTGTCCTGCAGGGAGTTAGAAATGGGAATCAAGCTGGCTCTAGTAAAAAGACCTCCCCGACTCAGGCAGCTGAGCTCTTTGAGGCAGCTGGCCTTAGTTACCATGGGACCTAGGACCTGAGGGTGGTTTGAGCCTCGGTCCTTCCAAGAAAGTTATGAAGTAGCAAGGAAAATAATTCTCTGATTGGGGGTCACCGCAACATGAGGAAGGCTCACAGCATTAGGAAAGCTGAGAACCACTGCTCCCGTGGCAAGCTGGGCCTGGGCCAGACACTGCCCCTTATGGAGGTAGAGCGCTTCCGTCAAGGAAACTGTTTAGTCAGGCACCAGGAGGGCCAGGAACAAGAGGATCTGTCTGTCTATCATTTTCTATTTCTTCCAGATCCCAAGCTGACCCTGGAGCTGGTTCATTAGCCCTGAACTCTCTTCCTACACCTGACTTCAGGGCCTTCTGGGTAGTGCTGGCTTTTTCTAGAAGACTGTATTCGGCAGGGGCTGGTGGACATATAGTCTAAGTCTAGATCTGGGGCTGCTGGGTAGGCAGGCGTGCAACTGGACCACAGAATGGGAAAGGAGGACCTGATAGAGGTGGCTTCAGCTGGCCCTGCTGATACTTCTGTCTATGGTCACCACCTTCTTGAAGCTCTGGTCCTGGGAGTTGGCAGCCCAACTGCTGCTGCTGCTTCTTTTGAAGCAAGTCCTCATGCCAGGGGCAGATGGCTAAGCTAGGTTGTCTGTCTCCAGTGACTGGCCAACAAATAGATCTCTGGCTTCCTGTTCCTGAGTGTACTGCAGGAAGGGTTCATTCCTGCCCCATACTCCAGCCCTGCCCATCCATCTTCCTCCTATCTCAGGGTTTTTCTTCCAGCCTCTCCTACGTCTCTGATATCCCAGGTTTGTCTGTGCACAGAGCATCATCCATAGATGTGTGAACAGCTCAGTGAGCATTTCCCAGCCCAGCTTTATCCTGTTGGGATTTTCTCTGGGATTTTAAAATGGTTTCTCAAAGCCTGAGAAGGGAATTGGAAACGGATCCTGTTTATCTGCAGTCATGGATCCCTTAGCTCTGCTCTGAGCTACACACCACCAGGTAATGTTGGTGGTGGTGATGTCACACCACGGAGTAACTTATACAGGCCTAGATGTCTGCAGGGGTTCCTGGTGGACCTGGGGGATGCAGTGAACCTGAGATGCATGAGGTTGCCGCCAGCCTAACTCAGCACAAAGTTTATAGTCTCCTTCCTCTTTTCCTCCCTCCCTCCCTCTCTCTCTCTCTCCCTTCCTCCTTTTCTTCCTTAAGGAATATACTCTTCAAATACTGTAAAATGTTTAAAGATCTAGTCTAGTGTGCATGAGCCAGTAGCGTAGTCATTTATCCTTACCATGTGTTCCGTGCTGACAGTGACTATAGGTACCCAGGGCAGCTGTTACCAGCATCGCCACAGACACGAGTGACGCTCTGCAGTGGTGTGACAGTGCTCATGACGGCACTAGGAGGCAGAAACTCTTTAGTTCCATTAATCACCTTAGTGTGGGACCACAGTGGTATAATAATTGGTATGTTCTCAAACGTGTCCTGTGTTGTGGCTTCCTACTCCACGGTCTGGCATCTTACCCACACCACCAGATACCAGTGTTGGCTGTCTCCTTCTCTTTCCTTAACTCTGCGACTATTTTCCCAGAATTCTTAGAAGGCTAGACCTAGGGGTGACAGGAAGAAGCCAAGAGTGCCTCTTGAGTATTCAAGGGGTGCATGGTTTTGCCCACAGGTGTCAGCAATGGAGGATGGGACTGTCATCAAGGACTCCAATGTGGTGCTGGAGATCCCTGCCGCCACCACCATTGCCTGTGGCATCATTGAGCTGTATGTGAAGCAGGATGGCCAGTTTGGTGAGTCCTCATGAGGTAGATGCCCTGGTAGCAAGAGAGAAGGAGGAGGTAGCAGAGGTCTCTGAGAGCGTCATAGGATCTGGGAGGCACTGGGGAGTTGGTTAGATGCACCTCCCGCTCAAGTGTCACTGCGGCTGTGGCGGGGAATACAGCTCTGAGCCAGCCTGATCTCCTGTGAAGCTGTTGAGTCTTCCCCAGGTTAAGGCCCTGCGGAGTTACATTTCAGGTTGTTACGACAAAGCACCATGCCTGAACAGCTCACAGAAGAAAGGGTTTGTCTGGGCTTACAGGTCGAGAGGGATGGAAGGCCATGGCGCTGGGGAATCAGCAGACATGCCAGCAGGAACAGGATGCTGAGGCTCACATCCTCTACTGCAAGCATGAAGCAGAGGGTGCTGGAAGTGGTGTGAGTCCCTAAACTCTCACATTCCACTCCCAGCGACACACTTCCTCCAAGGCCACAGCCCTCAAACCTCCCAAACAGTGCCAGCAGCTGAGAACCAAATGTTCAAATGCCCAGGATTGTGTGTGGGCGGGCATTTCTCATTTAAACCTCCATAGGCCACCTACTCAGAAGGGAATGAGCGTCCCTGGTGGCCCTGGGTGGAGCTAAGCTAGTCGAGGTCTGGGAAGCACCCAGGACGGTGGTAACTCAGCAACCACCCTGACTTCTCTGTTAACATTGTCCTCACTGTGGCTCCATGCTCCCTCCCAACACGGAGCCCATACTGCAACCTGACCTTGCTCTGGCATCACACGTCACTGTTATTGGTCCTTTCTTAGAACGGTCTGCTTACTCTAGATCAGTGCTTCTCAACCTGTGGGTTGTGATCCCTTTGGGGGTTGAAGGGCCCTTTCACAGGAGTTGCCTAAAACCATTGGAAAATATAGATGTTTACATTACAACTCACAACAGTAGCCAGCTTCCAGTTATGAAGTAGCAGGGAAAATGTTATGGTTGGGGCCACCACAACATGAGGAACTTCCTAATCATAGCATTAGGAAGGCTGAGAACCACTGTGCTAGATGCTCGAGGCCTCTTCCCTCTTCCCAGTGAGACTGCTACCTGACAGCTTTGTTGGGAGCAAGAATGGGGAAATGTAACATCACAAACCTATATTAACCTTTCTGTGTAGGATAGTGATATTACGGTTTTGTCTTCTGGAAGGTTCTTCTGAAATGTCCCAGTTGAATTGTCTGTCTGTGGTTTGCTTCCAAACTGGCATTGGGGAGCATGTGTGCTGGGGGTAGAGTAAAGGACGCAGTCAGTGTCAGTCACGACAGTCAGTGTGACAGTCGCTGAGTCTGGCAGATGAGCAGCTATGGTCATTGTAACTGTGCATGCTTGTTAAGTGTGACCTCTGCCCTCGAGAACAGACTACACGTGTGCCTGTCTGCCGCTCTCCTGCCTGTCTTTGGTGAAGTGGGTAAGGGGAGTTGGCCTCTGTGAGACCATGCAACACACTGCCCCGCTCTGCTGTGCAGGTGGGAAGATCACTAATGTCTTCCTACTCTTGCACATTCGAGGGTCTGAACAGGCATGGGACAAAACACTGACCCCCTGCACTGGCTTGCTCATCTGGCCAAAGAGAAGCCTGTGCTTTGGGGAGTGGAAATGATTGTCCTGAGGTGACAGAGAGAAAGTTTTAAGAAACCGATCAAGAATACTAGGTAAGGGAAGCCTGGGCTGCCCCGAACACAGGACTGGCAACTCTAGCTCGTTGCATCTAGTTCACAACATTAAAAAAAAGTTGAGTAGTCTTATGTAGCCCATCCCGGCTTTGGACTGGCTATGCTGCTGAGGATGGCCTTGAACTGACTCCTTATTCCCCTGCCTCCACCTCCAAATACGGGATCATAGATTTATGCTACCACCCCAGGTGCCCCCCAACACCCACATACTACTTCTTTCATCTTCTCCTTCTCTTCTTTTCCTCCCTCCCACTTCCTTCCCTTCCTTTTCTACTTTCTCCTTCTTACCCCCATCCCCGCTCTTCTTGTTTGCGCTCAAACACACCTGAAGGTGACCCGATTGTTCCTAGTACCAGCATATGATAAACCGTGTTGGTGTGCACTTGTACAGTCCAATTGGATGCGAATGGTTGCTCTGGGGGCTTCATAGGTAGATTTGACTGATGGATCACTGTGTTACTTTCCCGTTTCCATGAGGCTGTTGGGAAACACTGTATCTAAGAGTACAATACTATGATAGCATATCCACAATGATTACTCCAACCACACTGATTTACCCAGTCAGTGCGTCACATAATTGGTGTGTGTGTGTGTGTGTGCGCGCACGCGCGCGTTTGCATTTAGGTTATATTAGTTTTAGTTGGGACCTTTGTAAATGATCACATTTATTTATGTGTTTCTGCATTACATGAGTGTATGTATGCATGCCATGGCCTGCCTGTGGAGGTCAGAGGGCAACCTGAAGGAGTCAGTTTTCTCCTTCCACCATGTGGGTCCTGGGACACAACTCAGGTTGTCAGGCTTGGTGGCAGTCACCTTTACCCACAGAGCCACCCTGCTGCTGCACATTTACCATTTTCGATAAGAACGTTCAACAACGTCACAGGCTGTTTTGCAATCTGCACTGCTCTGTTAACCACAGCCAAGTCCACTTCCTCCACCAGTGGAGGCTGTGCTCCCTGTCTGCCCAGCCCTCCCTTTCTCAGTCCCAGGGAAGCGCGGCTCAGCTTTCCTTCTGGAAGAGCAGCACCCTGTAGACTTGACGTGAGCAAGGGAACACGGTGTTTACCTTTCTGTGTCTGACTCATGCCCCCCCCCCACTATTTCCCGGGTTCGTCCATGTTTGTTTGTTCATTGACTAAGTAATATTCCTTTCTATAAATGTGCGTGTTCTGTCCGTCTGTTGCTGAGCACATAGGTTGATTTGAAATCAGATAACAATACAGCATCACTGCTGATGCTGTGAATGTCTTGGTTTATTTTGTTGTTGTTGCTTTTGCTTTTAGATTATTTTATGTGTATGAGTGTTTGACCTACATGAATGTATATTCACCATATGAATGCCTGGAGGAGGTCCCAGAACCCCTGGAACTAGAGTTAGGGACCACCATGTGGGTACTGGGAATCAAACCCAGGTTCTCTGGAAGTGCAGCCAGTGCTCCTGACTGCTGGGCTGCAGCCCTTTTATTTCTCATTTCCCGACTCCCATCTCCACTCTTTTAACCCTAGCATTCATTTTAACCCACACATTTGTTTCCATGGTAACAGCATTACTAATGTTACAATTCTGTATATTTGATGACAGCCCTTCTCTCATAGCTGGAACTTTGGGTCATTTAGGCAGTGTGTTTCTATTTCTTCTACTTCATAGGCCCTGATGATCACTACTTTTCTCTGCTTGGCGGGTTTCACTGTTCTAGAGTCTACATATGAATGTGATCTCACAGCATTTGCCTTGTGTCTGGGGATTAATGCTCTCCAGATCTCCGCATGGGTCTCCTTTTCGTGAATGAGTACTATTCCATTGTGTGCACGTAACTGCAATTGTTTTATCAATTCAGTTCTAGTATATTTTAGTTTTATATTTAACTACTGTGAATGTGTCATTTCTCTAAGGTCCTTGGACACGTGGCTCATATGAGAGGATGGCCATGAACTCTGGGAGGATCCTTGGTAGCTAGAGCCCAGGCGAGAAACTCTTTCCTGTCAAGCTGCCTGTAGCTCATTTGGGGTGGCCTGTTTTTCCCAGGGGCTTCTTTCTCTTTCCGTGCTTTCTGATTTCTGCTGCCCCCCTCAATCCCCATCCCTGTCTTTGGCTCATTTCCCATGCCCTGGCCTTGGAGGCAGCACCACACCTTTGAATGTTGTGACTGGGTCCACAACCACTAAATAATTCTGCTTTTCCCCTTTGCTACCCATCTGCATTTCCTATCACTCCACATGGAACCTTCTGATGTAGTCTCATCAACAGACCTGTGGGAACTGGAAGGAGATGCCTGTTCATACTTCCTGCCTCAGGCAGGGTTACTGTGGATGGCTTCCCTAGCTGTCCTATGGGAGCTTAAAGGAGATGCCTATTCAAGCTTCCTGCCTATGGCAGTATTACCCTGGATAACCACCCTAGTCATCTTGTAAGTCACTGTTAACCCTCCTCCACCCTGGCAGCTGTGTTCTCAGCTGCCATGAAAACCCCTCCTTACACCTCTCACGGGTCTAATCATTCATCATTCTGGAATTGGGCTTGTTCTTGGGCAGCGGCCATGTGCTCATCCTGCATCGTGACTCCTCCAGCTATCTGATGCCCCCAGCAGTGACACTGTCCCCACCCTGCCTTCCAGTCCCATGCTTCTGTCTGGGGCTGTGTGTGACTGAAGCGACTCCCTTCTTCTCACCCAGCATGTCCAATGTCTTCTGTCTTGCAGTAGTGAGGATTTGAAACCATAATCAGAGCATTCCATTCACCTGCTCAAACACTGTGGTGCCTCTGTTCCTAGCGTGAACTTTGCCACATAAGTATCCCCAGCTTGATCTCTTATCACCTACACTACTGTTGCCTGGTCTCCCCAAAATTAATCCTTGTCTGTAAAGACCCTGCCACTCCCGAGCCCTGGGCCCCAGTGCTCTTGTCTAGGGTATCTAGATCCCCCCCAGAGAACTTCTGCTGGAAGGGGGCTGCTTGGGTTCTGCTTTAGCCAGGAGCTCTTCTCTGGTTCTCCTTCACCGTGATGTCATTAGGATGTGGAACCCAAAGGAGTTTACAGTGAAGGGATGTGAATGTGGTGGAAAACAGAACCTCAGATTTTCTGACCCTTCTCTGAAGTGGTGGCACAGTCTCCAGGAGACGAAAGGTCCTTCCTCATCTCAGAGGAGAAGGACACAGAAGGAGCCCTTGGGTACTCCTAAGCTTGCTGTAGTGTAGACAGGGCTATTTTGTCTGCCATGCGATGCTTTGTCAGACCTAGTGTGAAAATCCTCAGGAGAGCAGACATGGTAGCATACGTCTGTAATCCCACCACTTGGGAGGCTGAGGCAGGAGGATCTGGGGTTAGAGGTCAGGCTGGGCTACATAGCAAACCTCTTTGCTAGTCCTTTTTCTGTTGCTGTGACAAACACGGTGGCCAAAGGCAACTTGAGGGAGAGTGCCCTTTGGCTTCCAGTCCCAGGTAAAGAAGAGTCTGTCAGAGGGGCAGAGGCTGAGTTCACACTGGATGATCTCAAGGCTGTAACTCTCAGAGCCCACCCCCGGCGACACACTTCCTACAGCAAGGCTGCGCCTCTCAAATGATGCCACCAACCGGGGACCAAATGCACAAATGATGAGCCTATGGGAGATACTTCTCATTCAACCCAGACTGTCTCAAAAAGCAGATGCAAAGAAACAAAAGCCTTTCTGTAGTCTTTTAGCGCAGCCTGAGCTATGGAAAGGTGATGCGGGTGAGCTGTGCTGACCCATGTCTGGTGTGGGCTTTTTTCCCTGCTACAGAATTCTGTCTCCTCCAAGGGAAGCATGGTGGCTTTGAGCATGAGAAGAAAGTTGACTCTGTCTACTTGGACCCCTTGGCCTACAGAGAATTTGTATTCCTGGACATGCCGGATGGGGGTCAAGGGGTCTCTCCCCAGGATGAACCACTACATGTTTTAAAACAAGGTATGGCTTGCAGCGTGGTTATGGACAGATAGAGAAGTGGACCCTCTCTCCCTAGAGGTGATGTTATCTTCAAGATCCCCTTGGATCTTAGGGAGGGCCAGTTCTTGGTTACTGTTTTGAAAAACGGAGAAAGACCTAGGTGGGTCAGTGTGGGAGGCCAAGGAGTGTGCTGGCCAGGCGCCTGGCAGTTTTCCTCTCCTGGACCACAGAACCAGACTACTGAGAATGCAGTAATGAGCAGAGTTGAAGACACCAGGGTCTCTGTCACTTCTGCCACATCCTGGGCTTCAGTGCATGGCAGCTGCTCTTTGTCAGCATGGTAAATGCCATAGAAGTGCCTCACTCACATGGCAGAGGTGCCATACCCCTGAACTGACCATAAAATTCCCTTTGCTCCACACAGCTTGTTGCTTCGGAACTGGTTTGCTTTGCTGAGTGCAGGAGAGCAGTGTGCAGTAGGGGGAACTGGGTGAGGAAAAGGAGAAATGAGATGAGGTCAGAGCTTAGGAGAAGCCAGGGATGGCTCAGAATATGTTCTGCCTTGCATAGCAAGAAAAGAGCTCCCCCCCGCCACCCAGGGCTTCAGTGAATCCCTAACCAGAAGATGCTGTTCCTGTCACCAAATGTCAGTGTCGGAGGACAGGGTGATGGAGACCTGGGTTTAAGGTAGATCTTTCCTGGGACAAGTGTTAACTAAACATGAGGTGTCTACTTATAAGGTATAGTTGTGACTGAACTGGAGTTGCCCTGCAGAAGCGGGTGAGGCAGGAGCTCTCTTCCACTGCTCCAAGCTGAGCTGCCCACCCTATTGGCTGGGTACCCTAGGAAGCTGGGGATGGTGGCAGGTGTAGCTGGACCTCTGGCCTGGTATTAGAGCCCTCAGATTCTAGGTTAACCAGGACAGCCCTTCTTTCCAAGCAGGGTCTGAAGAAGACTGAATTGTGTTCCAGGGGAGAGTTTGAAGATGTGGCTCAGGAGTTCTTTGTCAATTGTTTCCTAAACTTTCACCAGCAAGGCCATGCATTTCTGTATCAGCTTGCAGCCTCGGTAGGAAAGAACTATCCCAGCCCATCTTTTTTTTGGCTTAATTTACTAGGAACTTTTGACTGTCCTCAGGAAAGAGAAGAGGATTATAGGACACAGGCTCCCAGGCCTCCTGTGGAGGGTGTAAGCGGCATAGCAGAGTGCACTCTTTGCTCATCTTCAGCAGGAGTGGAAGGCACAGGGAGGGAAGTGGAAGCCATGTTTGTCATGCATGTTGAGTGCTGATTCTTTCACTGTGCACTGAAAAGGAAGCATGCCAGGAAGAACGTGTTTGGGGACCAGTGTGGCTCATGCTTAGTGATTCAGTCGTGAGGATGTATTCCTATAGCTACCATGCCAAAGAAGAGCATAAGTGGCCTCCAGGAACTACCTGGTCAAGCTTAGCACTGCATGGGCAGAGACAGGTGACGCCTGGGGTGTCACAGTGGGCTTCCCTGTCTCTGTTTCCTTTCTTGTAGCCTCCCGATTCTTGAGAGCCACCCAGGGTACTGTGTATCTCCGAGCCCCACAGCCGACTCTGAACCTGGAGTCCTTTGGAAGGACTGAGAGGCAGGTTGGGAGCTAGGCCTGACCCTGCATCTGCTCTGCTTCCACAGCGGCTGCACACCTGGAGAGAAGCTTCCATCCCTTTACAGAGTTACCTGCCCAGCAGCAGATGGCGCTGTTCTGCCTCCTGCAGACAGTCTTGTTTGATGAGGAACTCCTCAAGGCTCTGGAGCAAGTGGTGAGGCAGCAGGGGTGGGGGTGGGAAGCGGGGAAGGGTGTTGAGTTTGGGCCTGTACCTGGTTGCTCTGAGAATGTGCACAGGCTAGACTCCTTGGGATGGCTTTGGGATAATTTGAAATTAAGTTTCACCATCTCCTTTTAGCCCTAAAACTTGAAGCTGACATCAGGCAGAGAGAAGTAAGTGACTTTCTTAGAGCTGTAACACATGACCACAGGCTTGGGGCTTTAAAATATCAGAAATTACTCTCTTCCAGACCTGGAGAGCAGAGTCCAGAATTGACAGTGGCAGCAGGTCCATACCCCTCTGAAAGATCTCAGGAAGAATCCTTGTTCCCTGCAGTTTCTGGTGGCTCCTGTCATTCTTTGGCTTGTAGTTGCTCCACTTTACTCTGTCCTGTCCTCCCTTGTTTGTTGGGGTCTTCTCTAGACACAGTACTCATTACTGGGTACAGGGTGCTCCTGCTTTGAAACTCTCACCTTATTGATGCCTGCAAAGACTCATTCCAAACAGGCCCCATTCTGAGACTGCAGGGGAACACTCATTCAGCTCACGGGGAGGAGGCTATGTGGTAGAGCTGTCAGCCAGTCCCATTTAGAACAGATAAGTAGGTATTTATTGCTTTGTTTTGCAACAGCCAGATTTTGAAGGAGATGCCAGCTGCTCACCCTCCATCAGCTCAGATTTTTTGTTCTTAATGAGGCTGAAGCTTTGAAAATTTTCTTTTCATTGTGACGTTTTTGGCCCTTCTTTTCCTATATTGCTCAAATGATTTAGGCGTCCAGAGAGCCACTCATGTATTATCTTACCTCTTGATCAGAGACTATGTTGGAGAGCTTGGTAACCAGGGGACAGAATTGCAGTTGTCCAAACTGTCCCGTTTGCCTTCAGGAGGATTTAGGGTTTAACCTTAGGAAGGACACAAATGTTCCAGTCCCATGACTTTTACTCCATAAAATAGCTCCTTCCTAAGGGAAAATGCCAGGCTGGCCCCTTGTGGAGAGAGTAGCATGTGCCCTGTCTGATGCTGGCAGAGCATCAGTTTGCTGGTGGATGTCAGAGGGGACATAGCATACTTATGGAGTACAGCTAGGCTCACGGGCAGTGCCATCCCACTCCAGAGCAGCCCTGTGAGGGGGGGGCAAAGTTGCCAAGGCATGCTGGGGACACACTAGATTTAGAGGTCTGTTTCTAAGAGTGTGAGATCCAGGAAGGGATGTTGCTTTTATGTCCCATTCATCAGTTTGGTATGTAGCCACTTGTTCCTGGTGTCTGGTAAAACTATAGCCTCTCTTGGTCTGAAAGGTTCTTTCTGCCCAACATTTCCTGCATGACTCTTTTTCTTTCCTTGGGGAAGGACAGCACTTGGGCAAGGCTCACCTTAGTGTGTCCTTAGGAGGAAATTTAGGCCCATGGATAGCATCAAAGTATAGGAAAGGGCCCAGTGCTTGCTGTACCTGAAGGTGGTGAAGTGCATGGGGTGTTGAGAAGGTGGAGGTAGGGCCGAGGCTCAGTTGTGGCTTCACCATAGTCTTTCTTCCCTTTCTACGTTGTAGTGTGATGATATGGCTAGCGGCCTCTGGTCCTCACAGGCTATCTTGGCGATGGAGGAGCTGACAGACAGTCAGCAGCAGGACCTCACAGCCTTCCTGCAGCTGGTGGGGTGCAAGGTACAGGGTGAGCGTCCTGGCCCACAGGATGAGATCAGCAACCAGAAGCTCTTTGCAACAGCCTACTTCTTGGTCAGTGCACTAGCAGGTATGGAAACAGACAAAAAAGAACAGGGTAATGTCTGCCAGGACTGGGAAATGGTGTTGCTTTCTGTATGTGCCGGGGACACAGAAGCAATGGTGACCAAGGATGCTTTGGTATAGTTGTCCCCTTTCAGTCCTTAAGATAAGAGGTGGAAAGCCAGGGAGAACCCTGCCACACTCTGAGGGTATGCCTGCCTTACTCAGGGAGGACTACCTTCTGGTTTTCTCACTGGAAGTCCTTTTCATAATGCAGCTGTGATCCACATCAGAGTCCAGACAGTGCTGTGTGTCAGGCACCTTCCTTTGGAGGTGTTTGTCCTGATCCTTTCCTTCTTCCTTGCACACTTGTAGCCCCTTTCAAGGTATTCTCTGGGTTCAGAGTAGTGGTGTGTTATACACAAGGTGAGGAGGCAGGCTATGGCTGTGTTTCTGCATAGGTCTTAAAATGGTTTCCTGGGGGAGTGGATTTTAGTTACTGTCAAGCAGAGACCACCATGCAGGAAGGTCTGGTGGTACCCTCTGTGAAGCAGCTGTAGCTATATCCCATCCTCGGAGGCCCAACTTCTCTCTAAAGCATGCTAATAGGCCCTGGGGTCCTGATACAGGGGCTTTGCCCCCAGTACTATAGAAGGAAAGGCCCAGGGAACCTTCAGTGTTTAAAAAATGAATCAGAAATAATGTTCCAGCTTAATATGCTGATGGATAGACCCCGTGCCTTGTTCTAAATCACAGAGAAAGTCTGAGTGGCTGAATGAGATCAGATACAAGACACAGGCTCTGTGAAACTCTACCTAGAGCTAGACCCATGTTAAAGTGAACATGCTTGAGTATAGACTTTCTGTCATCTTGTGAGAAGGCTTCTTATATATCCTATACTACTTAAGCATTTCTATGTAGAATAGCCCATGGCTGACACTGACAATACCATAGTCACATTCTCCCTGATCTAGATATAGCTCTGTGGCTAAGCCCAGGGGACCACACTAGGGGTTGTAATACAAACTTATTCCCATTTGGAAGCTGGATGCCGGGGAAGTTTTATGTGTAGCCAGCATCTACATCAGCCCTGCCCTTTCCACTGATGTTGTAACAGCAGCCACAACAAAGGTTGGCTGATTTAAAGCTCTTTTGGTAGTATTCTAGTTAACCCTGGACCCTTCTTGGCCAAGTCTTCCAGACAGCGTGGCGTCCTAAGATCTGGAGATAGTGCTGGAATAGAAAGTGGTTCTCTTGGGCCCTGACAGTGTTTATTTGGCTTTTCCTGCTTAGCTGCTTCCAGCACTGCCTATCTCCCAGAAAGCTTCCTCTGCCCCTTTGACCATGAGCAAATCTTGGCAAATCCAAGATCTCAGTACTACAGAAAACCTCATTTGTAACTGAATCGCTTTTTCCCAGACTTCCTGGGCAGCCTAGGACATGCACCAGGGTGACAGCCCTTTGTGATGTGCTCACAGCTTTGTTAAGCACCTCTAGGGATGAGGGATGCAGTAGTGATTTCATGAGGCAAGAGGCATTCTGGAAAGTGAAGGGGTTGAAATGTGTGTCAGTGCTTGGTTGACACTACATGCCCTTCTCAGCCCTGAGCCTTCTTGGAGTGGAGAGCCTCCTTTGGGGACATAGGAAAACTGTAAGCTTCCTCAGAGGCAGGGGCATGACCACACTGGAAGGCTGTGTTGGGTTTCTCTGGTGGGATCACCTAACAGGGCTGTCCCTTCCTTCAGCAGCCTTCAATTTTGGGAATGGCCATGTTCTTTTATCCTCTCTGGGTCACAGCCTCAGTGACATGTCATTTTTAATATAGCTAACAGATGTAGGTGGTCAGGAAGTTCATGAGTGGTCACAATACCAGGTGACTTAGCAGCTCCAAGGTAATGTGCTGGGGATTAGATTCATCTCAGGAGCTCTTGTTCTGTACAGGAAGTAGGTATAGATGTATGTGTGAATGGCACTGATTTGGATTCCCTTTGGCGGGGTGCTCTGGTGTAGTCCCAGCCTCTCACAATTCTGTCCAAACTTTGTTGTGTCACTGATTAGTCCTATTGGAGCTTACTTTCCCAAAGGGAATGGTGGCATGATGGAGCCCTTCATGTTTGTGTGGTGTACTGACATGTATTCCTGAATACCTTCTAGTGTGTCAAATTGACAGGTTCCTGGAGAATACACCCCGCACTATGGTCTTGAATGTTTACATGTTACGTATTCTCATGCCTGTAAATCCCAGTACTTGGAAGAAGCAGGGTTATTGCAAATTCAAGGCTATTCTGGGTTACATAGCAAGAATATGTCTTAGAAAAGTAGAAACAAAACAAAGCTTCCTGACAGAAGCTCCAGCCTAGTTACTTGGAATGGTTCTAACCATTCAAGCACTGTTTTTTTTTCCTTTTGAGCCAATTATCCTTTCCCAGAGTCCATGCCCTTCTTGCTAACTAGCAAATTCGATGTCAAAGAACATCCTCTGATGACTAGATTCCCAGGGAGATCCTACAGATCACCAGCACTGCCTTCAAATATGACCATACTCTTGTTCCTGACAGTCTGTGTAGCTCTGGCTGACCTAGAACCCAGAGATTCTGTCTCCCAAGTGCTGGGGTTAACGGTATGCCACCATTCCTAGCCCAGTCACATATATACTTTAACTGGTGGTAGCAAGGTAACAAACTGTAAGTTGGGCACCACCTAGAGATGGCCGAACTGTTCTTTCTTTTTAATATAAGGGCTCACTGTGTCTCAGGCTTGTGATTCTTCTGCCTAACCTCTCAAATGATGACATTACAGCACGTGTCACCATGCTTGGCTTCCACAAACTTGTTTTTGACAGTGATCATGACCATGATGCATGTCTTCTACAGAAATGCCAGATAATGCCACAGTTCTCCTGGGGACTTGCTGTAAACTTCACATTATTCGTACGCTGTGCCACCTGGTAAGGAACCTCCAGCTGGGACTGTGGGGTGGAAAAGACTAGGGATGATGAGGGATAGATGCTATGCAGCTGGTATAACCCCTCTAGTTACACACATGTGTAAGCACATATCATTAACATATGAGTGTTGGGAGATGTCTGAGGTACAGAGCGAAGTGTTCAAAGAACTGGCTAGCAAAGCAGCCTAGTGTACCAACTCCAAATACTGTTTCAGTTTGGAGATTTTGGGCCATAACTTGGTACTGAGAGGCCCAACACCCTGCTGTTGGCCACTGCAGTGTGTGGCATAGTTTGAAGCTGCTTTGTGTCACATTTGCCAGAAAGCACTCAGGGCTGCTCTCTGGAGGAGACATAGCTTCTCCCCTCCTCTTCCAATACCAGTACCACTGCAAGAGTAGGAAATCAGTAATGAGTCTAACCCCAGAGTGGAGCTAAGTTCTCAAGTTACAGAGAGGGCAGTTAGCAGAGACCAGCAACAGGCTGCCCCAGATTGTCCAGAGGCAGCTTTTCTTACATAGCCTGTGCTGGTAGAAGGCCCTGGATCTAAAGTCTGGTATAGCCCCCCTGTGTTACCCCACAGAGCAAAGCTGGCAATGCAGACTGCCGAGATAGGCCCACTTACGTTCTGCATGTCCTCTAGGCATACCAAAGCATGTAGGTAGTCTTAGATAGGAATACCAAAGCATGTAGGTGGTCTTAGATGTTGTTCTGTATGGAAGATGTGTCAGAAGTCAGGATTACTAGGTATCTTATCACATAGCTGGGCTGGTGCCATCAGAACTGACCAGAGTCTGTGCCCCAGGGGATATTCAACTACTTGGAAACATGCCACCATATCTCAGACCAGCTGAGGGTGATGGCTGCTTGTGTAGTTTGATTATAGAAATGATATAATTGCACTAATTGTATGAGATGATGAGCAAAACAGCTCTGTTCCCTTTTGCAGCAGTGAGTGTTCAGCATTTCCAAAGTCTGTTTTTGAGTATTTAGAGACTAATTGAAGCCATTCAGGAAGTACACAGAGAAGAAACTCGTGCTATGGGAGCCAGGCCCTAATGAACTCACTTAGCACTCTCTGCAGTGAGCCCTGGCTCTGACTTTGGCTGATGTTCCAGGACTAGCCAGGAACCAGTTCCAAAAATGGATGGTCTCCTGCTGCCTGCAGATGCACTTGCCTGAATTTGGAGGCTGCTCAGCAGACAAAACAGGTTTCTTAAAAGGAAGATCGCCCTAGGTGTCCTCAAGTAATCTCTGTAGATTTCCCACTTCAAGACTGGAGTATTGTGTACTTCTTAAAGTGACTTACCTAGAAAAGTCACACAATTTACCCACACTCCTGTTTGAAAGTCCAAGTGATGCTGAGTCTTCTTTAATGTTTTGGACAAACTGTGAGATACACTATCCACATGCTGTGGACTGGTAAGTGGGTAGATTTAAAGCAGTAGAGAAATCTAGAAAATATTCCCAAAGGATAGAGTAGCCAGGGCAAAGGATCTTGAAGCAGAAAACAATTAACAAATGACAGTACCTACACCTGAGCTCATCCATATACCCGAGAAATTCTAATATTGCCATTTATATTAATAAACAAAACAACCAATGACCAAGTGGTGGCAGTGGTGAGTGTGGACCTGCCCCAGAGCAAAAAAAGAAGAAGAAAAAAAACCAACAAAAACAAAACTGTCAGCAAAAAAGTGACTGAAACATGTAGGGAGTACCTGTTGGATATATTAAACCTTCACTAAACCTGATGCTGTCTGGGGAAGGAATGGAAAATGGCTGCAGGCCTTATCATTCTGCAACTGCCCAAGCCAGAGAACATACAGCTTAATGTCCACTCTGAGAAACCAGCTTGTTTAAACAGGGCTCTAAAGAAGGTGATCACCTTAGTTGGGCCTCCCAAAATCAGCAAGGCTCTTACCTTGTCATGGACCTTTAGTCCTGCGCCCACACTGGGTGGAAGACAGTGCTAACAGCATTTTGCTACTTCAGGCTTTGAGGTACCATAGCCATATGCATGGGGGCCATCTCCTCACCCTACAGCCTTGAGGTTGTGGGGCTGTAGATGCCTGTGAAGGCCTACCCTCATTTGCACCTATCACAAGTTGGCCAAGTTTCAAGGTAGGTCCTATAGCTCCAGGAATTCAGCGACCAGGGTCCCAACTGTCAGTGATACTTGCACCCAACCACAGTGGGAACTTTTTGTGCCTATAACTTTGGAAATGTAGCTGCTGGTGCAAAAAGCCTCAGCACTACTCAGGCTTGTAGCTGGAATCACATCTGTGGTCTTCAGCTTCATGAAAAACAATGCCACAAGTTGGCCACTCCACTGCTTACTCTTTGCATGATCTAGATATGTTTCTACCCCGGCCTTGCGGCCACAGACACCAAACAACAGGCTTGTGTACCACTCATATTAAGCCGTGGCATACATGGGAATTCTCCCCCAAGTCCTGCACCTCCTGAGCATGGAAACCAGAACTGTTGGGAAGACCCAAGGAACTTAACTTCCATAAGTCCATTGACTTTGGATTAGGGTTGCTGGTACTGAGTAAAACTTGTGCTTATCCCCTTGGTCCTGGATGAGCTACAGTCTCGATCCCACACATCCATAAAAGTAGCCATAAAGCCCCAGAGACTTTAACCACTCCCAAAGGAATAGGGAAGAACTCTTTTATGTTTCAAAACCTTAAATCCCATGGTTACTGGAGATGTTTACCTGGTAAGACCTGGAGAAAGGGGCTGGTCCCATCCTGTGGCTCTAGAATTGTGGGTATTGGTGCTACAGACTCAAGCATCTTCTACAACTCATGATGTGTTCTATGTTCACCTGGACAGACCTAGGGATAGCTCTTTCTGAATCTCATACCAATGAGTGCATAATGGCTGAATACATTCTTGGAAGCCTGTGTTTATGGCAAAGCCCTACTGTGGTCAGGATTAGTGCTGTACCCCTTGACCCCAATGATAGGATCCAAATGAGGCATCACACAACAGCTACACATTTGAATTCATGTGTAACTGAAGCCCGGGCACCTATCCAGTTGACATTTAAATGAACAAAAATTCCTGCAGAAAGTGCCTCAAAATATTGGATGTTCCACAAATGTACAGGATACAGAGAACAAGCCAGCCACAGAGAGAATAGCTGTTTTCCTCTAAAAATAATCTCTGAGAAGGAAGTCTGAAGAGTTTACAGTAATGATCCCAAGGAAACATTAATGAGCTCCAAGAGAATATAAACAAAGTAACACAAAGAAGCAAAAAGCAATTTGAGATATAAATGAGAAATTAAGAGTTTGAAATCTTAGTTAAAAAATACCAAAGACTATTAATTCTGGAGCCAATATATCCAATAAGTGCAATAAAACACACAAAGCTCTGAAAATAGTCAGGAAGTAGCACAAGGAAACACTGCAGAACCTAAGGATAATCCTTCCAATTACTTCAGTAAGACAAGGGGGCTGGTGTGGGTAATTGAGAAAAGCTACAAGATATCTAGGACAGAAATAGGTGAAAATATTAGCACTGTGGGGAAGAAAAAAGGCATTTAAATCTAGTTTCAGCTGGGCGGTGGTGGTACATGACTTTAATCCCAGCACTTGAGAGGCAGAGACAGGTGTATGTCTATAAGTTCGAGTCGAGGTCAACCTGGTCTACAGGAGCTGGTTCCAGGACAGGCTCCAAGGCCACAGAGAAACCCTATCTCAAAGAAAACCAAACCACAAGAAATCCATTCACTGATGTATATGTATGTGGTGGTTTGAATAGATATGCTCCCTATAAGACTGACTCATGTGTTTGAATACTTAGCTCATAGGAAATGGCACTATTAGGAGGTGTGGCCTTGTTGGAGGAAGTGTGTCACCGTGGGGGCAGGTTTGAGGTCTTATATGCTCAAGCTATGCCTAGTGTGGTATACAGTCGATTCTGCTTCCTTTGGATCAAAATGTAGAACTCTCAGTTCTTTCTCTATCACCATGTTTGCCTGCACACAACCCTTCTTCAGCTCCATGTCTGCCTGCATACTGCCATGTTCCACCATGATGATAATGGACTAAACCTCTGAAACTGTAAGCCAGCTCCAATTAAATGTTTTTCTTTTAAGAGCTGCCATGGTCATGATGTCTCTTCACAACAGAAATCCTAGCTAAGACAGTGTATTAAAAGGGACTGGGAAAAAAAAAGCAACTAAATAGAAATCAAAAGTAAGCAGAAGTTACACTCATAATCTCATAAAGTGGACTTTAAACAATCAAAGAGAGAATGCAATCACTATATATTCATAAATCAGTTCAGCAACCAGATACAGAAGGGCAAATACATATGGGTCCAACATTACCAATCTAATAGCCAGAACAACTGTAGATGTGCAAGAAGGGAGATGAATACAGGTATAGTCAGGGACTTCCCTTCTTTTTCCACTTTGGGCAGCACATTTAGACACAAAATGAAAGAAACACCTCAGCCTAAACACATGAGTGTTACCAGTTACAGGGCATCTTAACCAGCGAGAATAGCAGCAAACTCATTTTTACTAGAAATATGTACTACTCAAGTCTAGAACATGTTAGGTCACAAATAAGTTTCAATGCATTTTTTTTAATTTGAAGAGTGTAAGAGTTGGTTTATTGTAAAAGAAATCAAGAATAATCAGTTGTCCACATTCTACCTATGACAGCTAAAACACATTAAACCCTATTATATCAGGAATAAGAAAGGGCACAAGATAGACTACATAGAGGCTGTGAATCAAACTCAATGAAAGGGTGCTCAGGGTTCTTGCAGTGGTACAAACAATTTGATGATACCAAGGTACTGTCAGGCTCCATGGGGATGCCAGACATTGAGGTGTAACTAGTCAAATGATTCTGAGACAAATACAATGTTCTTCATTTGTTTGTTTTCAGAGACAAGTTTATGTAACAGTCTTGGTTGTCTTGGAACTAGCTCTGTAGATCAGGCTGGCCTCAGAGATTCGCCTGCTTCTGCCTCCCAAATGCTGGGATTAAAGGTGTGTACCACCACTGTCTGGTAAATACAATGTTCTTACTTTGTGGATGAACTTTTAGGAACAACTATCTTGAAGAGGAAGAAGTTTGTAGGTTTTCTATCAAGGTCCCACTAGTTCATAACCCACTCTCACCATCCCACCCTCCTCTAAGCTAAAGCCAGTCTGCTGACACATAGCATGTAATCTTTTGCCCTTGGCATTCTACCCTTCAACAGCCTTACTATCTGCATGTTAGCCACATGCTGCATCACCCAACTGCTTAGTTTTGAATTCCGTAGAACTTTAGTGTTCTAAAGCCTGTGACAGTGTTCACTCCCTTTTCCTAAGACATACTCCACCATGAATCTTTCTGCTAGTTTTTTTTAAAGTATTATTTATGTGATGAGTGTGTTGTCTGTACGTATGCCTGCACATGTATGCCTGATCCCCTCAAGGGTCAGGGAAGGGAGTCAGATCCTTTGGATCAGAAGCAACCACCGTGTGGGCACTGGGAACCAATAGTCCTCTTTAAGAACAATGCATGCTTAACTGCTCAGCTGCGTCTCTTGCCCCCATGGGTTAGTTTCTGAATAAAGGCCTTAGTAATGGTTGTCAGCTTTCCTAATGCTTACAACCCTTTAATACATGTTGTGGTGACCCCAGTCATAAAATTATTTCATTGTTTCTTCATAACTAATTTTTTTAAAAATATTTATTTATTATGTATACAATATTGTCTGTGTGTATGCCTGCAGGCCATAAGAGGGCACCAGACCCCATTACAGATGGTTGTGAGCCACCATGTGGTTGCTGGGAATTGAACTCAGGACCTTTGGAAGAGCAGGCAATGCTCTTAAGCTCTAAGCCATCTCTCCAGCCCTTCATAACTAATTTTACTACTACTATGAATCATAATGTAAATATTTGATATGCATCCATAGGTTGAGAACCGCTGCCTTAGAGTCAATGGCAATGAATGAATCATTAGATACAATATACTGATAACTAAATCTTTTTGTACATTCAAGTTTTGCACTACATTAAATCAAAGAACCAAAATACTTAGATTTTTAACTGAAAAAAGAAATTGGTGTACCTAATCTGAGTCTTTTTTTTTGGAGCAGTTTAGCCTGGAAGAGATTTTTTTTTGTCTTTATAAAACCCTTGAAACTGATGGAGGTGTTAGCTGGTGCCACTATAATTCCAGCTATCACTTTATAGCTTCTGTTTAAGAATTCATTCATGCTTATTTTGTTTCTTAAAAAAAAATACTCCTTGGAAACCATTACTATTCCCAAAGACACATTTTAGGAATCTTTCTTCTTGTAAATAAATAAATAAATATAAAGACAATCATGTTTATCTCCTCTTTGCTAAATCCAACTACCCACACACATTCTAGCCTTATCATTTTACCAGTTAGGTCATGACTTCAGTGCATTTCAACCCCAACGTCCAGTTTTAGTATAGGAACTATGAATATTAACTATCTCTGGTGATCACAAGGGAATAAAATTTAAAAAAAAAACAAGAACTGAAATTATAAAAATACATGTTCCTAGTGACTAATAGATAACTGGAGAAATTCTAGAAACAAATGCAAGGAACACAACAAAATCCATGATCCACAGCAAACATAGCAGTGAAAGTTTCGAACAATAATGCATATATCAGACAACAGAAAGATCTTAAGATTGCAACTCAAGGACATAGGGAAAACAAGGACAAACCAAAACCCAAAGCACAGCAGAAAATCAAAACTTAAAAACACAGAAAAGCTAGGTATGGAGGCAGAGGCAAGAGGATCACTGTGTTTTCCAGGCCAGCCTTATCTATGCAATGAGTTACAAGACAGCCAGAGATACATATTGAGACCTTTTATCAACAAAACAAAAAACCCACAGGAATCAAGAAAATAATCCGGTGTTTTGGAAGGAAAGCAAAATTGTCAAAATAAATTAGGTGTGTTCGCTGGTAGCAGTAGGGCACACTCTGAGATGGAAGAAGACATTAAACACAACAGAAGCAGAGGATCACAAGGAATGACTGCAGCCGCTGCAGTGCTGCAAAACCGGAAACCTAAGCAGATATGTGTATTGCAGCTAGCTGAGTCAAGAGAAATACCAACTCTAAACAGGCCAACAATGAGAGGGAAACAGTAACTGAAATTTCCTAAAGATAGTCTAGGATTTGAAGAGCTAATTCCAATGCTGTTTCCATTATTTGAAGGTGAACTTGGAGGAACCCAAATGCATTAACTGGATACCCAGAGGAGACGAGACAACCACAGACTCACGTACAAATATTCTCAATAAAGTAGTACCAACTGAATTCAATAACATAGCAAAATATAACATACCATGAAAAAAGTATTTACAGTTTTCTGACAAGGGATTTATCTGGATAATACTAGAAACTCAAAAGTTCATATATCATAAAAACAATCCAGTTAAAAAGTGAGCTAAAAACCTAAATAGATACTTCTCAAAAGATATACAAACTGCAAGTATATGAAAAAAAAACCCACTACTGTCTCTCTGATCACCATGAAAACACAAATCAAAATTGCAATGTAGTAGCATATCATCCTCATTAAAATAACTATCATCAAAAGATTAGTAAAGAATGTATTTAGTACAGCCATTATAGAAAACACACTGGAGGGCCCGAGTGCTGAAACTGCTGAATGCTACCATGTCTATCTGAAGATGAAATATCAATAGATGTGCATTCCCATGCTGGTCGAGCCTGTTCACATAGTTAAAATATGAAAATAACCCAGATGCTCAACAGATGAAGGCCAAAGAACACACAGATAAATGCAGTCGAGTAGTATTCCCTTATAATAAATGAAAACATGTTATTTATTGGTAACAACATGACTGAAACTGGAGATCATTGTTAAATGAAACAGGCCAGACACAGGACATACACTCTCATGCATTTGTGGGAATACTAAGTCAAACTCTTGGAAGAACAGATTAGAATCATGACCACTAGACTCAGACAAGCAGTGGGGAGGACGGCTGAAATTCTAAGGAGTTTTAAACCATGGACAGGTGGGATACTTCAGGATCTTTTTTAACATGGTAGGTAGTAGATAAACCACCATATTTCACAATAACTACAAGTATATGAAAAATTGAACACAAAATGGTGTATAGAGACAAAAGTTCTTATTGTCTGATTTTTATTACTGATTTTATATATGTATTGAATTACTCTAATATATCCCATAAAAATGTACATATTTATCAGTAAAGCCAAGATGAATCTTTATATGTGACATACAAAAAGTACATGTTGATTTTTCGAACCTACTGGGCTAATCAGTCTAGAAGGTGTAATAGAATGGGGATTCAGACAGGAATACAGGCAAGGAAGAGAACAACAGGCCTAAGGTCTTAGCATGAAGAAACATGTATCTTATTATGGTCAATGATTTTTCTGTCCTATCTGAGAGTTTTTAAGAAAGGTATCTAACTTGGATTTTCTGGGACATTTTGTTTGTTTAAATTTATTTGTTTAAACTTGTCATTTCAGCTCCATGCTCTGTCTGGTGATAGGTTATGTGATTTTGAAGACCCCACCTTGGCTCCTCTGAGAGATACTGAGAGGTTTGAGATTGTGCAGCGTTTGTTTGCCTCTGCTGACATTGCCCTGGAAAGGATGCAGCTGTCTGTGAAAGCCACCGTCCTGAAGGACTCTTGCATCTTCCCACTAATTCTTCATATCACTCTAAGTGGGCTTTGCATTCTAAGTAAAGACCATGAGTAATGTCTTTGTCAGAACTACGTGCTACTGACCAAGGCTGAGTACTTTCCAGAATTGAGAAAATACTTTGAGATCTGGGCCCCAGCATGTTAAAAGTTGGTCAGCGAATTCCAAAGCACAGAAAGTGGCGACTTTCCACACTAATGCCTGCAAGCACTGTCAACGGTTTATTCTCAGAGGCCTACTGTGCCAACAGACAGTGAGCCTGGGAACCATGGTAGATTCCAACATTTGAGTTACTTGAGAGAAGAGTCAAGGGCTTTGTACTTTACCTACTTGTCACCTTATTTTACACTCACTGCTGTTATACAAAAACAGAAAAGTCTGAGACTTCAAAATTCATCTCAGGCTGTGAAAACTGTAGGAAAGCAATTTCCCCTCACTTCTTTCCAACATGCTGTCTGTAACAGTGACTGGGAGACTGTAATGCTACTTGAGCATATGAAACAAAATTGTATTAAGGGCATCTGATCTTACCCACCTCAACATGGGGACGTAGCTATATTCCTTTGATTTGACTTTTTTACGCTTTGATGAGCATACTATGTCTGGAGCAATTCCAGCGGATTCTGAAAATTTGTCACATGCTGCCATTTCTATCAAAAGAAATTCTGAACTATGTATAGTTCACTTTTTATTCTGTTTTGATGTCCTTCTGATTCAGCAGGCTTGGACAGTTTCCCCAAGCCTCCAGATTCTACTGAGAGCATCTGTTGTTATAGACCAGACCCAATGCCTCCGGGCTGAAGCAGCAAGAAGATGCAGTTTTCACCTCCACTTCACCCACGTGGCCCTTTCACGTTATGAGGAAGAATAACAACAATGAAATAAAATAAACACAGACCCCACCTTATGCAGCTGTCTTTTACAGGGCTAAAAGCTGTACCAGTGGCACTGCACACATCACCAGTTAGGAAGGAAATGCAAATGTGTGTAGTTGTGCAGAGTTGGTGCTGTGTCTCATCTATTTCTGACATAAGACATAAAGAGCATGCTATGGACAGAACATATATGAACCTACAGGTGGAAAACAAACATGTATGTGCATGGGAATGCATGTCTAAAGTTCAGGAGAAACCTGGAAGTGGTATATTGCAATTCAGGAACTTTGTGACTAGGACAACAGGCAAAGAAATGTTATTTCCTCATCTTTATAGTCTGATTGAAATTTTGTATTATTCTAATTAAGAAAAATGGATCGTATAAAATAAGAAATATAAAAGGGACTGGAGACAGTTCAGTAGTAAGTGATGTACAAGCATGGAAACCTGAGTTGGTTCTCTGGCACATATGTAGATTGTCAGACATTGTGATCACACCTGTAATACCAGCACTGGCAGGCAGTCTGGGCTTGCTTGCTTGTGAGCCAGAGTAGTCAACCAGAGGGCTACAGTTTTAGTCAGAGAACCTGTCTGGGCAAAACAAACCCCAAATATAGAGAGCAGTAGATGTAGATATCTTTAGCCTCTATGTGACATGTGAACATATGCACAAAGAATGGGGAAAAAAACAAAAACAAAAAACATTCTTCTGAAGACATCAGAAAGACCCTTAACCTGCATGGGAGAGTTCTCCAAAGGGCACTTCTGGAAAGACTTCTTGCTGCACAAAGCCACACTGTTGTGTTTTGATGGGTCCCTGCCCTCTTCCTGCAGGCCTAGTGTTAAGTAAGATGTAACCCACAACAGGGCTGCCTGCTGAAACACATGGTGACTCTTTCCTGGGCAGATGGGAAGTGGTTATAGTGACTCCTGCTGTCTAAGCAGTTTTTGTGTCTTCATCCTGTATTTTAGTCGCCTTCAACTCTGAAATCCTTTTCTATGAAAGCCACTACCATTCATCAGCCAGAATAGAAACAACAGCACAGGGAATCCTGGCTGAAAAGTAGAGGCAGGTGAAAATTTATTTAGACAGAAAAATTTACACCAAGGACTTAAAAAACAGAAATAAAAGCTAATGTGCTATCCTGTAGTTTTATCTCTTAGTTCTACCTATTAACAAAATACTGTTCATCTTTCCAACAGCAAGCATTTCTTTATATTCACAAAAAAATTTAACAGGAATATGCAATCTCTAATTTTTAACTGTATATGGAAATCTGTTGAAAGATTTATAGTGAGTTTCTGAAAAATCAGTACTTACTGTACTATAGGAAATAATAAGGACAGCAGTGATGTTCCTTTTTGCAGAATCTAGTAATGCAGACATCTGGAAAGCAGGGCTGCTTAACTTTTATTTTTAAACCTTTTCATCAGAAAGTTCCTTAAGCAATTTGGCAACCTTTGACTTTTATAAGCATGTTGTCTTCTACTGAAAACTCCTACAGTTACTAAAGAGGGTGGGGCTATAAAAAGCAAGTGCTTGTATTAGGTGCAAAGTTATATAAACATGAACTTTGGGTGGGGAGACAAAAAATTTCAAAGTAAGTCATTCACATCAAATGGTCTTTGTAGGTTCTGACAATTCAAAAGAGCTTGCAGAAAATTTCATTTGCTGCTGAACACTTGTGCTGACTAATTTTATGTCAACTTGATACAGGATAGTCATCGGAGAGAAGGAAACTCTAACTGAGAAAATGCCTCCATAAAATCAAGGTGCAAACAAGCCTGTAGAATATTTTCTTAATTAGTGATTGATGGGGGACCCAGATCACTGTGGATAGCACCACCCTTGGGTTGGAGGTACTGGGTTCTATAAGAAAGTAGGCTGAGCAAGCCTCAAGGAGCAAGCTGGTAAAGACAGTTCCTCCATGACCTCTGCATCAGCTCCTGCCTCTAGGTACCTGCCCTGCTTGCGTTCCTGTCCTGACTTCCTTCAATGATGAACAGTGATACGGAAGTGTAAACCAAAAAAGTCCTTTCCTCCCCAAGTTGCTTTGCTCATGGTGTTTCATCGCAGCAATTGCAACCCTAAGACAACACTATTGCTTATTCTTCTACAGGACATCATTTAAAAAACAAAACAAACAAACAACAACAACAAAAACCACACCCCACCACAATCAACAACAAAAGCCAGGGTTACAGAAGAAACAGGAACTTGAATTAGTTCTTATAAGATGACATACAGGGAAAACAAACATCTATTTTGCATTTTATGTTCAGATACACACGAGCTATTGATTTAGAGGAAACATGAACAACAGTAATGTTATAAACCAGGAGACACTAAGTTACAAAGGAGGTCTTAGCTAAGGGAGTGCCTTCTCCACAAGAACTGGGATATAAGCAATCAGCCTTGTCAGAAAATGGCAGGAAAGAAAATTTTGTTCCTCAAAAATAACTGGAGTTTAGGACTCCTGAGATTGTTTACAAAGAATGACCAGCCATGAGGCCCATTCCCATATCAGAATATGTGTCCTTAGGGCTGCAGCTCAAGGGAGTGGCATATGGTGACAGCTATCATTAGGCCTCTGTTCTTTTATCATAGTTCTGTCAAGTGGGAAAGATGGCCCTGGACAGCAAGCGACCAAAACAACACTGGTATATCTTTGCTGTGTAAATCTCCCATCTGACCACCTGGCCAGACTTGCAGACTCTTACCTCTTTAAACTGCTCAGTGTAATCTGGGGTCAAGACCTCAAAGAGATTAGAGGATGGTAGCATATATGGAATGTATAAGCCCAATGCTTATATAAGTATATAAATTGGTACAATTTTCTGTCTGAGGCTGCTTCCCCTATGTGCATTAGCCAGAACTAGGCACATGCTATTATTAGAGGATTTCCCCTCTATTAATTTATATGTGCTCAGAGGGACTCCTCACTGCAAAGGCATGCTCATTCTACAATAGTATAGTACCTAACTGGCTCTTCCTGCAAAGGCTAAATATTTCTCACTTGGACTATGCTTACTAACAGGGCAACCACTAACAAGCTCTCTGACATAAGATGTAATCATGTCTTAACTGCTAAAGGCTTCTGGCTTAAAATAACATATAGCTCAGAAGGGGTTTTGCTTCTTTCTGGGGTGTTGGCGTGTGCCTAGGGCCATGTGTACACTAAGGTTGCAAAGCACTCCACCCTTAAGCTCCCACCCTTTTCAGCTGAATAGTTTTTAATGTGATCTTTCCTCTTGACTAGTTAGGGGTCTCACTCACTCTCTTGGGTGGTGGTCAGAGACTGCTGCTTTCATTCACCGCAAGGCAGAATGTAAGACTGTGGCATCACTCTTTGTTCTAATTCATGTTACCTAATAAATCTTTGGTATACTTTTATTTGGGTTCTCGTGGATTCACATACATCTGCCTACATTTGGTACCCAATGTGGGACAAGTACATCTACATAGACCTGAGAAAGCTTAAACTAAGCTGAGGACAGCTTACTGGTTGTGTCTCTCATGCAGGCCATGGTGCAGAGTTGTCATGGAATTTGGACTTGAGCACAGTATGGTACAGTGAGATGCCTCCAAGCTGGACAGCATGCTACATGGTAGATCTTTTACTCAGAGGAAAAAAAATGTGGGTAGTGTGCTACAAGCAGCTTGTTGGTGGCATGGACCTGCTGCTTCCCAGAGCTGGCAGTGAACATACCTCCACCAGGTTGGAAAGCAGAATGGGGTGGAACCAGCATCCAGGACTGTTGCCTTGGTCCTAGCTAAGCCTGCTTATCATTTAAAAAACTCTCTTGGTCAAAAAAAGGATTACAGATACATAATAATGACAGATTCAGACATAAAAGACCTCTGAACAGGCCACAGCGTGATTGATAAATGTGCATATATTTGGGAAAGAGAAAGGAGTAGAAACAGACATGGATTAAAATAATGACTTAAAATTCCTTAAAAAGGAATATATATATATATATATATATATATATATATATATATAGCCCTGGAAAAATAGAAAATTCACCAAATTTGGATTATGTATATTATTGTGTTTTCTCTACATTTTTTGACTATTAATTAGCTAACCGCTTTGCTTGGTGGGGGCTACTGAGTTAAACCAACATATATATTTTAAAGGTATCTTGACTTCAAATTTAAGTCTAAGGATATGTTGCTTTGGAAAAAGAGGTTCTGCTTTTGTTTCCAAAGAAGATAAAAACCTGTGAATTCCTTCCGGCCTAATATGGCTTGCAAACAAGACCCCCTGAAAGGTCTCTGTGAACCCTAAAGATACTTAGTCCATAGACAGCAGGAAGTAGTTTCAAGAAAACGACATCCACATTACCAAGAGTTGGGGTGGGGTATGCATGGCCTTTGGTTATTTGGTAGGTTATGAATGTCTGTTATATTTAGGGAAACATAAAAATATAGGACAAAAATATAACTATTAATCACTGATGTTTCACAATGGCAAAGATTTTGGTATAATGATATAAATTTAAAGTTAATTTTCTTACACTAGATATATGTTTCTATTATTTAAAGGACTTTTGTATATTGATACAAATTTAAGGTCAATTTTTTATATTATTATGTATGTTTCTACAAAAACCCAGGATAGCCAAAACAATCTTATACAATAAAGGAACTTCTGGAGGCATTAGCATCCCTGACTTCAAACTCTATTACAGAACTACATTATTGAAAAGAGCTTGGTATTGGCATAAAAACAGAGAAGTAGACCTATGGAATCGAATAGAAGACCCAGATATTAACCCACAAACCTATGAACACCTGATTTTCGACAAGGGAGCTAAAAGTATATAATGGAAGAAAAAAAGTATCTTTAACAAATGGTGCTGGCACAACTGGATGTCAACCTGTAGAAGAATGAAAGTAGATCCATATCTATCACCATGCACAAAACTCAAGTCCAAAAGGATTAAAGACCTCAATATTAATCTGACCACATTGAACCTGATAGAAGAGAAAGTGGGAAGTAGTCTACAAGACATGGGCACAGGAGACCACTTCCTAGGTAGAACCCTATTAGCACAGACAATAAGAAAAACAATGAATAAATGGGACCTCCTGAAACTGAGAAGCTTCTGTAAAGCAAAGGACACTGTCAGTAAGACGAAAAGGCTACCTTCTGACTTTGAGAAAATCTTCACCAACCCCTCATCAGACACAGGTCTGATCTCCAAAATATACAAAGAACTCAAGAAACTAGACACCAAAACTCTAATTAACCCAATTAAAAAATGGGGTACTGAACTGAACAGAGAATTCTCAACAGAAGAACTTCGAATGGCCAAAGGACACTTAAGGTCTTGCTCAACCTTCTTAGCGATCAGGGAAATGCAAATCAAAACAACTTTGAGATACCATCTTACACCTGTCAGAATAGCTAAAATCAAAAACACCAATGAGAGCCTATGCTGGAGAGGATGTGGAGTAAGGGGAACACTTATCCATTGCTGGTGGGAATGCAAACTTGTGCAGCCACTTTGGAAATCAGTGTGGCGGTTTCTCAGGAAACTGGGAGTCAACCTTTCTCAGGACCCAGCAATTCCACTCTTGGGACTATACCCAAGAGATGCTCTATCATACTACAAAAACATTTGTTCAACTATGTTCATAGCGGCACTATTTGTAATAGCCAGAACCTGGAAACAACCTAGGTGTCCCTCAATAGAAGAATGGTTAAAGAAGGTGTGGAACATATACACATTAGAGCTTTACTCAACGGTAAAAAACAGTGACATCCTGAATTTTGCATGCAAATGGATGGAAATAGAAAACACTTTACTGAGTGAGGTAACCCAGACCCAAAAAGAAGAATTTGGTATGTACTCACTCACAAGTGGATTCTAGCCATAATTAAAGGACATTGAGCCTATAATTCATGATCCTAGAGAAGCTAAATAAGAAGGTGAACCTAAAGAAAATCATATAGTTATCCTCCTGGATATTGGAAGTAGACAAGATTTCCAGGCAAAACTTGGGTACACGGGGGTGGGGTGGGGTGGGGGGGTGGATGTAAGGGGAGATGGGTAGAGAGAGGGGAGAAGGGGAGGATTGGGGGAAAGCTTGGGGGAATGGGATGGGTAGGATGGAGGAAGGGTGGATATGGGAGCAGGAAAGTAAATATCTTAATTAAGGGAGTCATTTTAGGGTTTGCAAGAGACTTGACTCTAGAGGGGTTCCCAGGTCCAAGGAGAGGTCCCCAGATTGTTCCTTGGGCAGCAGAGAAGAGGGTGCCTGAACTGGCCTTATCCCATACCCACACTGATGAATATCTTGCATATCACTATTCTGCTCATTTAAAAATGTAATAGTCATCTATAATAGCTATAGACATGTTCCAACGTGGGTCTCTGTCTCTATCTCCATCCATCGGAACATGTCTATAACTTAACTCCCTAGGTCCAAATGAGAAGCAGAAGGAGGGAGAATGTGAGCAAGGAAGTCAGGATCAGAGGGAACCTTCATCCGACGATGGATGGAGATTGAGACAGAGACCCACATTGGAGCACTGGACTGAGCCCCCAAGGTCCAAATGAGGAGCAGAAGGAGGGAGAACATGAAAAAGGAAGTCAGGACCGCGAGGGGTGTGTTCACCCACTAATACAAGGGGACTGATCTAATGAGTGCTCACCAAGGCCAGCTGGACTGGGACTGAACGAGCATGAGATCAAACCGGATTCTCTGAATGTGGCTGACATGGGGACTGTCTGAGAAGCCATTTGATAATGGCACTGGGTCTTGTTTCGTCTGCATGTACTGGCTTTTTGGGATCCTAGTCTGTTTGGATGCTCACCTTCCTAGACCTGGAGGGAGGGGGGAGGAACTTGAACTTCCCACAGGGCAGGAAACCCTGACTGCTCTTAGGACTGGAGAGGGAGGAGGAGAGGGAGTGGGGGGAGTGGGAGGGTATTGGGAGGAAGGGAGGAAGTGGAAATTTTTATAAATTAATAAAAAAAATGAAAAAAAAGAGGGGAAAACAAATGCCCAGAGTTAGGAAAATAAATTATAACTATCAGGAAGGAAAGGGAGGTCAGACATACTTTTTCATAATGATCATCAATTATATTTCATACAGAATATGAATAAAATGATATGATTTTTGTGTGTAGCCACACAAAGCCATGGATAGAAACCTCAAAAAAATAGCTATAGACATGTTAGTTAGGTTTTCTAGATATGCAGAGATGTATTTCGGATGGATAGATAATCTTCAAAAACTTACAGAATATGTCATTTAGAATATTTTAATAACTTAAAATTCTTTGGACATAAGACATCTGTTCCTGGCAACAGCTATTACCTCAAAGAGGATGACGGCCATCTAAGAAACTCATGATGGAGTTCCTTCAGTGTGGCAAGGTCATTTTAGCAAGAAACTGTTCCTGCCTGGACTGCTTGACTGTATGCTATATAAAGTGGATATGCAGAACCCACAGGCAAATGACTACTGAACTCAAAGATGGGAAAGTCCTTCAGGATTCCTGTTTCATGGGAGAGTCTGACAGACATTCTGTAGGACACAGAGAAAAATGACTGACAAACTGCCAATATAGGTGAAACAGTTTTCAAATTTCCTGCTTCACTGAGAGGTTTGTCAGACACTCTAGGCTTATAGGCTGAAGATGGATGCCCCAACGTTACAGAACTTTGGGTGACTGTCTAGGCTGTCAAATTTCTCTGTCATTTCTAGAGTTTTAAAAGTTGTTTACAATGCACTCCCCAGTTACAGAGGTAATAGTATATCTTTTTGGGGTCTTTGATGCAGATGAAGACTAGATAGTTATAATTATAGTTTTCCTTAGTTATTATAAAAGATAATTGGAAATAAAATTTTAGACTCAAAAAGATAGATGTTTTCTTTAGTCAAAAATACTGTAACTGATTCTTACTTGATCACTGTTTTTATTGTATATAATTTTACAATGTTAAAGCTAAAACCTTCCTTTTTAATTACACAGAAATGGGGAGATGATGTAGGATGTCCTATATACTGTGAATACGTGTTTCTCTTTTGGCTAGTGGCCAGACAGAATAGGGTCAGGTGGGAAATCCAAACAAAGATATGGAGAGAAAGAAGGCAGAGTCAGGGAGATGCTATGTAGCCGCCAAAGAAGTAATATGCCAGGGTATACACAAATTAGTAGAAACAGGTTGTGAAAGATAGTGAGTAATGTGCCTAAACACTAAAACCATTGGCCAAACAATTATAATTATTATTAAGCCTCTGAGTAGTTATCTTATAAGCAGCTATGGGGACAGACAGGCAAGGCGAGAAACGGGTTCAGTGGGATCGGACAAGATAGAAAAAAGGATCCATTTGCAAACCTTGACTAGATGAGGGAAGTCAGATTTGAGGAATGGTCTAACACCTTTACGTATCTATTGCCAATTCATGGTTTGCTTTTGGGTCAAATGCAATAAAGACAACTATTTCTGGCTTCTGAAATGAAGGCTGGGACTACTGCTCAGTAATGGAGTACACTCAGCATACGCAAAGCTGAGATTATATCCCAGGACACCTCTGCTCTGTGGTAGCAACAATTATTTATTCCAGTAGACTAAAAGAGCAGTACTTTTACATTTAAGAAATGATCAACTTCCAAGTTGTAAGTGGCATTTACCTTAACTATTGATGTGTTAATTCAGTTTGTGGGAGTAATTAAAAAGCAACAAAGTAAGAATAAAAAAATAAAAATAGCCATTTTGACCTGTGTCCTGAGGTTGTCAGTTATCACACTACTGTGTTACCAGTCACAAGACAGTGAGCAATTAGAAAAAGAAAGGTATTTTCTGGATTTGGGAGTTCACTAATTGGACTTAACTTTGAGTACTGTTTTCTAATAAACACAAAGGTGCCCATAAAGCTTCACAATATGGATAAAAACCAGGCTGTAATATAAATTTTAGGCACAAGGAAAAGGAAGGGCAGCTTCAGAGTACTAAGATCAGTCTGCTCTGATGTAAACATTCAGAGGATTTCAGTTTTTGATTAATGAATGGCCTGCTTAGCAGTTAGGGACTTGGAATGGGACTCTAAGGGGACTGCTAGATTAGGACCACCAAAGGTAGGCCATACTGTCTTCCAGACTGCAGCTCTATCAAGGAGCTCTCTTAATTCCAGGGACGGGTTCCTGAGCAGCTCACCATCTGCTACTTCACCTCAGGATGAGGTGACTAATAGAGAAGCAACCTTGGGTAAGAGAATACATTTAATAAGTAGTTTCAAAGGCTTACCACATCACAATCACAAGTTACTCCTTAAAGTTTAAGATGAAGACAAGTATTAACTTAGTCCTATGTAACACATAAAAGAAAGGGGAGATTAAATGCTATAAAAACCACATGGGCAAAAGCAGGATTTTAGTCAGTAGAAGTAGTACAACTATTTTTGCTTTTATCACAAGAGATTATGTTTTTAAGACAACCTTGTAGTGTTTTGTCCAAGTGGTGCAAATCGTGCTTACCTTAGAAAAGAGAGCATCATTCTCTTGGTTTTTAGTTCACTAAGGACGTGTGACTCTGTGCATTTTTCAAAAGTCACTCCAAGATACAAAGTAACAAGATGAAATAAGAGAAATATTTTTAAAAGAATTTAACTTTAAAAGCTAAAACAAAATACAATTTAAAAATAACCTTACCTTAAAAAACTATAGAATTGTCATCTTCTTCAAGTGTATCACATACACTTACAAAAAGACCAATATGATGTTGAATTATTCATCAAATGTACTCTTAAAAATCTGTAAATAATATTCAGTTATATACAATAATCTCATTATTTAAAATACTGAGTATCTCCCAAGAACTTTAACTACATTACAGATGCTATAATCATTCCCAAAGCAAATCCCTTGAACAGGAGGAGGGCAGGCACTGTAATCTTTAAGTCTAAGTTATAGTTCAATTTCACTTCAAAGTTTAAGTAAATATTCCCCAAGAGGTTTCTACCCAGAGATATTTTTTCTTAAGTAAATTAAACTTTAATAATAAAAAAGTTTTCTGAGCTTAGTTTCTCTAATAAAATCTTCAGAAAGGAGATCAGTGTCGGCTTCAAAGTGGAGCCAAAGCCTCTTAAAAGAATCTAAAATAGATCAGAATGTCTAGGAATTTGAAATTAATTAAAAACGTTAGAACACTAGCTGTAACATGTGGGCAAATATGTTTAGCTTTATTATTCATAAAGTTTGGGAGATAATTACATACTATACACATAGCTGTGTGTGTGTATATACATACATACATACATATATATGTATATGTATATGTTCTTAAAAAATGAACTGTTTATGCACACAAAACTTAAGGACTGCCTTTTCCTTATTTAGTGTGAAGATTAGTTAATGTGGAGGTAGGATCCTCCAGTCTAATTCTGTATAATGAAGGACTGTTTCAGTAGACATAAAAGTAGATTGTTTTGTTTTAAACAATTTTCAAACGTTTTACATTTTGAACTTACCCATTTAAAATAATTATAACTAATTTGGTAGCCTTGGCAATCAGCTTCAATCACTGAGTCATGACACTTGCTATACATAAAAATAAGTATCATTTAACTAATTTTTAAGTAGGATCATGACTTGCTAGGGATTAAGCCCAGGATCTCATCTCACACATCTTAGTTAGGCACATACTTTATCAAAGTTATAGCTCTGGGCCCTGGTTTTTTGTTTTGTTTTTGAGCCTGTTACACCATGCAGGCTAGCCTCCAATGTATAATCCCCCTGCTTCAGTCTCCTGAGTGCTTGTATTACTAAGCCTGGCAAAATGATCATTTTTGGCCATTATTGCCATAATCAATATTGAATTATATTGAATTATACTGCTAACTTGAGCTATTTTCTAAATACGTTTTAATACCAAATTTGGCATTTTAAAGGATTTTTTTTTACAGTTTCTTATAAATAACATTATTAGACTCTAGAATCTAGGATTTTGTTCTATTTGGTTTGTAGTAATTTCTATTTTAGAAAGCTATGGTAAGCAATTATGTCAAGTCAGCCAAGACAGACACTCCTGATGTATCTGACACCTGATATTGTCTAAAAACACAAAAGTTATGAAAAGTGCACAACAAAAGCACAGCAGAAACAAAGGCGTAAATTCTACTGTAGGGCACTGAATATATTCCATTAGCAAAGGTTAAATGACTTGTTCAAAGACATCATTTGTACAGGTATTTGTACATTTAGAAATGAAAAAATACATATAACCATTAGATATAAAGAAATGACAATGACCTGAACGCTGAATGTGGAACTCATCCTACAGTGCATTTAGGAAGACAAATATAAAACATTTTCCCAAAGAACATGCATGTGTGTGTATATTTTACCTATTGCCAATTATTGAACGCCATTGTAAGCCCCTTCTTCGTCAGTTTATTATAAACAAGTTTGTTATGTTAGACTCTTCCCAGGAGAGAAGTATGAGTTTCCTTGATGGCAGTACTTAGGAAGAATTATGGTGTAAGGCCTGATGGTTGCGACAGACTCAGGTGGGGACTTGCGTTACAAGTTCAGTGATTCTTCACTAAGAAACAGTTGTATTTTCTTGATACTGGCATGTATAGGATAGTGAACTAAACTGTATCATTTCAGTAGGAGAAATCTGTGATTAATTTTGCCATCAATCATGAGTTCCATTTGTAACAGAAACAATGTTAAATAGAGATGATATGCTAGACAATATGTATTTTGTATCACATAAAAGGATATAAATACATATGTAACTATTGGTACAGATATTTGTGGACAGACTGCTGTGCTGATATCATTTTTCCAAAGCCGCCTAGAAAGGCCTCATGAGATAGCATGTGGTACACTGGGGAATACAGTACATTTCCTGAGAGCGCAGAACTGAAAGCTTCTCTCCAAGCTTACATTACAGTGTGTTGAAACATTAAGTCACAAGGTGCCAAGTAAACACTGTGCTTTGACTTATGTTGCTTTGAGAATCTAAGAATCTCAGCAAATACATGTGGTTTAAAAAGTGATCCACTTTTAAGAGTGTATGATCCACTATGTTAACAATTTCCTGTCCAAGAAAAATGAAAAATAATATTTTGGCTATGAATTTCTAAAATTAAGATTTAAAAGCCTGTAGATTCCTTTTATTAACAATATGGTAACTTAGGGGTTTTACTATGAAAATAATAAAAAATATTGCATGAACATTGCTTACTACCATATATACATACGTATACATGTATGTGTGTATTGATATCAGTATCTTTATATAGATGAATATATAACTTTGATGAGGGGAAAAGCAAAGTCAGAATTTATGTGTCTGGAGCCTGTCACCAAAGATACATCAATATTTAAGCACCAAATCCTTTAAATGTGACTATTCCGAATTGAAAAGCTAGCAGCAATATAAAGTAAGGTTAGCTTAGTTCAGTAGTTAGCTGCATCACTAAAAGCATGTTTAAGGAAGAATATGTACCATTTAAGAATCCTAGAGGGGAATATTAACCAAGGTGAATGTGGAAATCTGTACACAGTGGTAATGTAGCTAAAGGATTTGGTTCTTAATCATTAAATAACAAAAAAGTGTATTTCTGAACAGAAATCATAAGAGTATAGGGCATTATTTAGTTTATATAATGTATGTGTTATATGTGTATATATAAATAGCTGGCAATTATTTCCAAATTTTGTAAACTGTTCAAAGGATTTGGTTTTAGACAAAACAGAACAAATACCCTAGCAAATTACTTCCCATTTCAGAAATGACATTTGGTGATTAACAAACAGCTTGCAGCTTAGAGACATCTTTAAATATCACAAATATTTGCAGAGGCATATTTTTGCTTACTATATCCTTAAAAAAACTGACTGAAGAAATAGGCTTGAAACTTTATATTTGAAAATAAGTAAACGGTGAATGAAGTTTTGCAGGATAAGGCACTCTCTGTCTGCAGGACCTTGCTTCCAGCCCGAGCTCACAAGGTACTAGTAAGCAATATTAGTCAGCATCACAAATCACTGCGACAAATGAAAAGATAAGCTCATAGAGAGTGCAAGCTATTGCTCTTCACTGTACTCACTAGAGAGGGCGGGGAGCTGATCTCTCTACAAATAAGAAAGGACAGCCATGCTCTAGAGTATGAGGCGGCACTGAAAAGACTCGATGTCAGATTAAGATAGAAGTGGACTACCTATAGCACTGATACTCAAATTCTGCTTCTGTAACAAGTCTGATTAAGGAGGTCGGTAACTACTAATTTTTTTCTAATGAGAATAACTGATCCTTCACTAAACACTTAAGAGAATGGTAGCTTTACAAAACTATTTCAAGTATTCATTATCACAGTGAAAATGTGAGACCAATGTTGGAGAGAATGATCTGAAAGTTCCTTTGATGAAAAAGGTAAGGGTACTAAATCAAAACCTACAAAATGCTTGAACGCATTTCTTTATGTGATATGAATAGAAAGGTCATCCATAAAAAGTTATAAAAATTAAGAGAAATTATATATTAGTACACCTTCCCAACCACAATTATATAAAAATTCCACCTAGTGCACTGTTATTTCAATTTACACAAGAAAGATGCCTAGATGTGGCAGATGCCTTCTATCTCTGCATGTGTTCTCCCAGTAGAAGGCTTATTTGTTGAGTCACTTTTTATATGTTTTATTTAACTGACAGCCTTATTGAATTATCAGTACACCCAGCTAATAGGGACCCACTGCGGCTCCATTCTTAGTTTCTCAATGGCAGTTTGTAGTTTCTCAAAGGCTTTGTCTAGATTGTCATTGACGATGATCAAATCAAAGTAGTGGTTGTATGCTCTCTGAATTCGTGCGCTTTCATCCACTGTTTTCTTCAAATCAGAGTCCTGTGAATGGTAAAAAAAAGTTAGTATTGTATTATGTACTGACTTGTTCAGAACTAACATGAGTAAGAAATGAGGGGGTTAGATATTTGTTGGAACTTGGATGCCAGTTCTCAAAATCTACCCTTTACAGTGCTGAAGAAGCTATTACTAGATATCTGTTCATGTTACAATCTTTCCATCTACCTCCATGATTTATAGTATTCTATAGCTTCTGCTCTGTTGAATTAGAATGAAATCCCTAAAACTATTAGGGTTTGTCCAAGATAATTCAAGAATTACTACCAGTGGCTGACTTCCAGCTGACTTCTAAAAGGGTATTCTCTCATGGCCTATGTAAAGCCAGCTTGCAGTGGCTGTTTAACTCAGAGTTCATTTGTGTTCTGTCACTTAGAACGGCGGAGACTCTAAGCTGTGCCACAACATAGACCCATAGACTTTAGGTTTATTTCTTCAAGTATCCCTAGATGGTTTGGAACAACACAGGAAGTAGACTGCACACCTAAGTGATGGGTTGTGCATGAGAAAGCAGAGCTTTCCATAAACCTCCACTGTACATGTAATTCTACAAGGATGAACTGGGATCCTATTAATGTTTGCTGAGTCTCAGAATCATAGATAAAAGTGAAATAGAAAGGGATCCTGCTTTTTCATAAAAAAGGCAAATGAAGGACAAATAGAAAACTTGCAACTTTTATGTACTTTAGAAGAAAATACATGTACACAAAGACTTTTAGACCAAGTGATGGCAGGCTAATACCGAAGGAAGCAGGAAGATTCCAGGATTACATAGGGCTGTAGATTGAAAGACTACAATGTATACATTCCAATAATAATCTTTTTCATTTTATAAAACTCAAGTTCTGTTTTAAAGTGAAGGACTGTCATGTAAAAGTAATATTGTTTCAAATCCTAATTACATCCAGTAAATCAATTTTCACTCTGTAGCATTTTACACAGTGCAGTAACTTCCTAAGTATGATCAGACAGGATTAAACATACTCAGAAGAAAAGGGAAAATAAAAGTGTTAACTTGAAAAGAGCCCCTACCGTCAATAGCTTGGTAGTGATTCCTGCATCCACCACAGCCTTGTGCATGGCACGCAGGGTCTCTAGCTCTGGAGCAGCAATAAATACCACATAAGGCATGAACTCAGATGTCCTCAACACTTTCAATGCCTGTGCAAAAAGTAATTACAAGTCAATATATATAATGTTAGAACTTGAAGTGTGCCGGCCGTTAGTATAAATAGAAGTTTATTGGTCTCTTTCCTAAGGTTAAGGACATAATTTACTGCCTGTGCCCCCTGTCTTAACTCTACATAGTACTTTCCTGAAATACAAAGCCATTTACTTTGTTGAAAAACCAAGTGTTATTAATCTTTGTTCCTCTTGGCTGTCTAACCTTTATTTATGTATCTAGTTATAGACTCATAATAAAGTCGAAAGAACAACAACACCACCTTGATAAAACACACTCCCCATACCCAATATACTCAGACAAAATTTCCCCCAGCAGCTTTGGAATTCAATGCAACTCACTTGTGGGTTGACATCTAAAATACAAGTACGTCCAGTTTGTACAACTTCAAGGATAGAGTCAATCTTAGTTCCATAGAGGTTTCCTTCATATTCCCCATGCTCCAAATACTTTCCAGCTTTAATATCTGCTTCCATTTCCGATCGGGACACAAATTTATATGCCTGTCCATCCTTTTCATCTTCTCTTGGCTTCCGTGAAGTAACTGGAATAAAATAATGTTGAGAACTTGTAGATTGTGAAATACAGACTAAAATACACACTAGTATCTTTGGAGGCTTCACTTAGTATGTGGATTTGGCTAAACTGATCTATCTCCTGGTTTTGGAAATAAAGTTTCAGGTCACAGCCATGCATATTTGTTTATCCATTGTTCACATTTTCTTTTCCATTAAAACAGTAGCTATGATACAGATCGTATGGCCTTTGAACAGGAATGCTTGCCGATCTCTAATTTAAAAGAATGGTAAAAGAATGGTTCTCAATATAAAATCTGAATCAAAAATATGATTTCGAATTCAGCTTGAAACTTAAAACATACTTATTTAGGAGTCGTAGGCCTGGTGCCAGTGAGTAAATACTCGCTCCTGATGAACGGTGCTCTGTTTTTTCTTGAAGATTCTATTATAGATCCCATTCCAGTTAAACATTTCTTAATTGACAGCCCAAAGATGAGCAAAGTTCTCCCACTCTTACCTACTAATAACTGTTTTCTGAATTGCAATTCTATCCACAAATTAGGAATCTATTCTTTACTTTTATTCTCCTGCTTTCTGATATTCCCAAATATTAAGTACTTAACTGTATACACCATTATCGTTATATCTATTCGCCCCTTTATTCTGACCTATGATTTCCAAACCAGAGTGAATATATCAATTCCAAATTCCAGGTGCAGGGGACCCTTTCATGTGGTATTTGGATTCATGCACACTTTTGGGCAAGTAATGTTATAGCAATTTGGTGTAAGCTAGAAATGAGTTATTACCACCTTGCACATCTCTGCAAAAGTGAACTCTGCCAAGATTAACAGTAGCTTTGAAGAAGAGAAATAATTTTTGTACTATTTCAGCATTAGTCTGAATCTAAGCTTGACTAGACTCTACTTTTGTTAAGTAAATAGAGAATATCTGAGAAAAATCATTAAGTATGTAAAATTAAAGTAAACGATATAAACAAAATGTTGACAGATTTTTAACTTATACCTAAAAAAAAAAGACACCAAGAAAACCTTTGAGAGAAAACAAAAAGAACTTTAAACTCAAGAGGTAAAGTTAAAGGTCTAATTTATCATGAGACTAAATGCATAGCTGTCTTCTGCTGTTTTAACTAACTTTAAGAATCTTCAATATGAGTGTGGTTTTCCACACTCAAAACCAAAAACAACCTTCCCCATCCCAAACCCATAAAACCTGTTTCTAAAATTTCACCAAAGACCATACAATAAATTGTCCAAGATAATTTTAAATCTCCCAAAGAAGGACAAACAAGGACTTGGTTCAGTATCTGTAACTTTAATTTAAAAGTTGCATCTTCTGGTGAAGCCCTGCTTTAAAGCCATCGATGTGTTGCTTGAAATAAATATGTAAATGCAAACATGCACACAGTACTTCCCAACATGTCAGGAGAATCCCAGTTCATAGCAAGATATGTTCTTTAACTGTAACTCCACTCTCTACTGCACATGCCAAAAGGAGGGGATGGGGGGAAAACCCAAAGTTACTGTCAAATATTTAAATTCCTTTTCATTTTCAGAACAGATAGAGCAGAATGACTCTACTTATTCCTTAGGCTTCTACACAGAACAATTAAATAGTGGGACTTCTTAGAAGTGAAAATTTAAGGCTCTGGTAAAATTCTAAATTTTAGCAGTAAAGAGTCAACAAAGAAACACTCCATGTGTTAACAAAGCCCAAGGGCATAATACTAAAAGCAAAACAAAACAGGACTTATAGCTTATCTTCCGAAGACAACATTGTCTATCACATTTTTGCAATATATTTAAAAATTATAATAAATCATCTCAATGCCACCAATCTCACCTGACAATGAGTACTACAATATTATATGGAAACACTCAGGCAGTCCTACTTTATGGCCAAGCTATGGTCACTGCAGCCTTACCTGTAGTACCCAAGGTAGGGATATAACTGAAGTGCCCATCAATGAATAAAAGATTTTTAAAATACTGTACATACTTTAATATATTTATATTCTTATATAAATAGAAGCTATTGAGTGAATAAAAATTTAGTGGTGGTAAGATATTCATAAAAGTTATCATTGAGACACTTTGAAGTATTCCTAACTCAGTATGAAGTACATTTAAACGGCTGTGCAGCTAATAAATCAATATACTATCTACTTTCAGATTCTTCTCAGCATTCCAAACTCTGTATTCCAAATAACCAATCCCTCCCCATTATGGTAATTCATCTCCCGCCCCAGCATCCGAATGGTTATGAAGTGGTACATCATAGTCTTTAAGTTTACCTAATGAGTTAATGATAATGAGCATGTGTTTGTTCATGTGCTTATTTGTAATTCTGAAAGTCTACTGAAGTCCTTTGTTCATTTTTGAATTGGAATTTTTGTTTAATTATAAGAATATGTTTGACCCGCAGCTGTCCCTACCAAATCTCTGACCACTGGAGTCTTCGCCCTGACTGCCCATGGAGAGGTAAGTGTCTGGGTTTGTGGCTTGAGGGTCCACCTCTCTGAACCCTAGCCCCGGAAGGGCCATCCTGTGCCTCACCCTCATCCAGTAAAGCTCTGGAGACCTGGGAGCAGTCTCCCCATACCCACAACCATCCCCCACTGCACCTATGGCCACTGGGGCTTTGGTCCTGACTGCACCTGCAGAGAAACTCCTGGAGCCACATCGGTGACTACCAGTGGCACAGCCCCGCCTGCACCAGGAAGAAGAGTGACCACCTAAGCCACAGGACCCACCTGTACCACCTGGAGAAAGAAAGACTCCCTGAAGAACAGGCCCCACCTACACCCCTTGGAGAAAGAGATGGGTAGGTGCCAATGCAAGAATACAGTCAAGAGTCTAAAGAGCAATATGGCCACACCTGAATCTAGTGGTCCTACAAAAAGAAGACCTGAACATCCTAACCCAGAAGAAGCAAAAGAAAATATCCTTAAATATAACTTTCTGAAGAAGATAGAGAGCCTTAACGAGGAAATGAAAACTTCTCTTAAAGAAATGGAGGAAAAGACAAACAAAAAATTAAAAGAAATCAACAAATCTCTTAAAGAAAGCCAAGAAAAAACAAACAGGTAAAGCAAAAAGTTCAAACAGTTCAAGACTTGGAAGATTGAAATGGAGTCAATAAAGGAAACACAAACTCAAAAAATTTTGAAAATCCAACAAATCCTTGACACAAAACATCCAGAAAATCTGGAACACCATGAAAAGACCAAACCTAAGAATAATAGGGATAGAAGAAGGAGAAGAATTCTAGCTCAAAGGCACAGAAAATATATTCAACAAAATCATAGAAGAAAACTTTCCCAAACTAAAGAACAATATACATATGAATACAAGAAGCTTACAGAACACGAAATAGACTGGCAAAAAAAGAAAGAAAGAAAGAAAGAAAGAGAGACAAAGAAAGAGAGAGAGAGAGAGAAAGAGAGAGAGAGAAAGAAAGAAAGAAAAGTCCCCTCACAATATAATAATCAAATACACTGAACATATAGAATAAAGAAAGAATATTAAGAGCTACAAAGGAAAAAGGTCAAGTAATATATAACGGCAGACTTAACAGAATTATACCCAACTTCTCTATGGAAACTCTGAAAGCCAGAAGGTCCTGGACAGATGTGATGCGAACTCCAAGAGATCATGGATTCAAGTGCAAACTATTATCCCCAGCAAAGCTTTCAATCACCACAGATGGAGAGAACAAGATAGTCCATGCAAAAACAAAAGGTTTAAACAATACCTATCCACAAACCCAGCCTTACAGAAAGTACTTGAAAGAAAACTTCAACAGAAGAAAGCTAGCTGCACCCACAAAAACACAAGCAACAAATAACCTCACACCAGCAAATCCCAAAGAAGGGAAACACACAAACACTACCACCGAAAAAGAACAGGAATTAACAATCACTGGTCATTAATATCCTTTAACATCAACGAACTCAATTCAACTATAAAATGACACAGGCTAAAAGAATGGATATGAAAACAGGAGCCATCCTTATACTACATACAAGAAACACACCTCAACCTCAAAGACAGACAACACCTCAGAGTAAGTGTTTGGGGAAATATTTTACCATCAAAAGGACCTAAGAAACAAGCAGGTGTAGCTATCATAATATCTAACAAAATAGACTTAAAACTAAAATCAATCAGAAGGGATGGAGAAAGATGCTTCATATTCATCACAGGAAAAACTCATCAAACTTCAATCCTAAACAACTATGCTCCAAATGTAAGAACACCCACAAATGTAAAAGAAACATCACTAAAGCTTAAATCGCACCTCAAACCCCACACACTAATAATAGGAGAACTCAACACCCCACTCTTGCTAATGAGCAGGTCAACCAGACAGAAACTTAACAGAGAAATAAGAGAACTAACAGATGTCATGACTCAAATGGACTTAACAGACATCTATAGAACATTTCACCCAAACACAAAAGAATATAGCTTCTTAGCACCTCATGAAACCTTCTCTAAAACTGACCACATACAAACTTCAACAGATATAAAAAAAATTGGAATAACACCCTGTAACTTATTGGATCTCCATGGCTTCAAGCTAGAATTCAACAACAACACTAATTGCAAAAAGCCTACAAACTCATAGAAATTGAACAGTGCTCAACTGAATCATCCCTAGGTCAAGCAAGAAATAAAGAAACTGAAGACTTCGTAGAACTCAACAAAAATGAATAAACAACATACACAAACCTATGGGCCACTATGAAAGCAGTGCTAAGAGGTAAGTTCATAGCACCAAATGCCTACACGAAGAAAGAAGATAAATCTCACACTAACAACTTAACAGCTCACCGGAAAGCTCTCTAACAAGAAGAAGCAGATTCATTCAGGAGTAGATCACAGGAGACAGTCAAATTGAAGGCTGAAATCAATAAAATAAAAACAAAACAATACAAAAAAAAGTAATGAAACAAAGAGCTGGTTCTTTGAGGAAATCTACAAGATAGACAAACCCTTATCCA